CACAGCCTGTAACAGCCTCCTTATTAATTATACAATGTTTAGGATTCTGAGACCACCAGTGTGTCTGTGGCTTTGAGAACTATTAGAAATGAACGAACACCCCTCAAAATTAAGGGCTTGTGACAATGTTGATTAAAACACGGACTGGTGATTATCACTCCGTATGACAGCTAGGTATCAGGGACATCAGACATGGACAGAATCACAGGGAGACTGTTCATAAATGCCTTTGTTGTTTTAAATGAGTCCAAAATATGAGTCTAATCTGGCATGCAGGGGTGAAGTCATGGGTAAAATTGAGTTTGACAGGGAAAAACAACTCTCTCTCTCTCTCCCCCTCTCTCTCTCTTACTTAAAGGAACCATGTCAGTCAATCAAAAAAACTAGTACTAGTAAAACTGAAAGGACATTTAATGATTAGACTTGCCTCAAAAGTATCTCCTGTTCCTAAATGGAGATCAGGGACCACAATTTCTTTAATGGTTGCATGATAAAATCAAAGTTAGGCTCCCTGTTCATATCTTTTCAAACAGACACACATTCAGACTGGGGAAAGACAGCACGTTCAGACACTTTGATAAGGGACGTCATCCCCTGGTGGCCTTGAGAAGAGCTTTATATGAAAGATTCTGCTTTTCTAAGTAGTTTGAGGATTATTTTTTTAGCTGCAACATTGTTGGTAATGTAGGTCACAATGTCCTGCCAGGCAGTCAGGTATCATATGCCACTGACTGCCGGTCCTGGTGTCATCCCTGTCCTCGTGTCTGTCTCTGAATAAATTATCTACAAACCAGAAAAACATGTCCTACATGCCAGAAATGTTTGAAGATTCATTTCATTGCTGCTAACTTGTTTACATAAACTGCATGTGAACAAAGTTTATGTAGTCTGCTTGGCCTGCTCTGCTGTTTGACTGTTTTTGCTCCAAAGATTCTGTAATATGAATAAAGAGAGCCGTCTGCACATTATTTCAAATTAACTGTGTCGCATGGAGGATTTGCATCTGTGACCATCTCGAAGCTCAGACACGCTCCTCTAACAGAGGTGCATACATGGAGTGGGAATGTGGCATACCATTAGTGTAAATGTTCTATTGTTTCTTTGCGCTATGATTAATAACCTCTCCCCATCAACCTCCACTCATTCGCTCCCTCTCCTTTTCTCTCCATTCTCTCTCTCTAATGAGCTGTGGTCGGTTATCAGTCATTACGGGAAGCCTGATTATCCCACCGGCATGCTGCACACGCTCACAGAGAACTTCCTGAAGGTGACCTTTTCACGTCGCCATAGAAACCGCCTCTCTCTGCTTGGCGATGCTCCGCTTGTACACAGAAAGAGCAAGAAAGAGAGGGAGAGAGAGAGAGAGAGAGAGAGAGAGAGAGAGAGAGAGAGAGAGAGAGAGATAGAAATAGACAGAGCAAGATGACGGAACATTTTCTTCCAAACAAAAATCTATTAGTATGCTGCAATGTGCGCACAAATCGCTCTACAGATTATATTGTTAACCAATAATAAATTAGGTATGAATTCATAAATTATCAAACACAAGCATCCAAAAGTCTCACTTTCTTGTTCTTTATTGCAACAAAAGTCTATTAGTATGCTGCAATGTGACAGCACACGCACAAATCGCTCTACAGATTATATTGTTAACCAATAATAAATTAGGTATGAATTCATATATCATCAAACACAAGCATCCAAAAGTCTCACTTTCTTCTTCTTTATTGCATCTCATTAATCTGAAGGTCCATTTGTTTCTTTGGCCTAAGAGTGTTTTTTTACAAACACTCAATACTGTGTGAGTTAATTCAAACACATTTTGATTTATTTAGCAGTGGATTTGGCCCAAAGAAAAACACAAATAGCTGTGTAAAAGGCAAACTCAGTGTGTGCACTTCTTTGTATGATTGTTTTTTTTTTCTCTGAAATTTCTAGTTACAAGAAACAAGTAAATTCTGGGATAAAGAGGTTTTTCAGGATGTCTTAAAATACAAAGAAACCACTCCAGCAACAATGACAAACAAGACTGTTGGAGGATATAAAAAGACACTGCGTCAAATTGGCTAGCTCTTTTTCAAGTCAGTAATAATAGGAGGTAAATAGTCGCTTTGAACAAGACCACATCACTTATGCGTCACGGCAAAACAACTCACTGATTGTGCTCACTAACTCGATACGGATCAAGATCACACTGGGGGTCTGAACCTACAGTACATCCACATAACCAAATTAAAGCAGAGACAGTCCCTGAATGGCTCACCTAGTCTTTGTAAAATGAATGCTTAATGTATACAGGCATGCGATGCCATTCTACTTTTTTTAAAGGTTAGATACATCATCACTGAACACCAACATCAGTGACTGTATGATAACTTAAAAGTCAAAGGCGATTTTCTGCTTTTTCTGTCTGAATAAAAGTTCACAGAACTAGCCTGTCACACTAAGAGGTACAAAAATAGCATTTTCCCCAGTGACTATCAGTGAGATCCAGAGGTCATAGTAATATGGCAGAATTGTAGAAGCAGAATTTAGCATTATTAGTGAACAACCAAAGCTTGTTCTTCTTGTTCATAGTCTTGGCACATTTGCCTTTTTATTATTATTATTTTACCTTTTTTTCAGTTATGGTATAGTTTTTTTTTCTTCTTCGTGCATTTGTACACTTTTACCAATGTTATATGTTTTTGTTCATGTTTTTACAACAGGTTTTCCTTTTTGCTCTGAGTACAGATGTTATTGAACTGTCATGTATCGTGTGTCTTTTACAGTTGGTTATGTGCAAAAGGAGAACTCACTGTATTCACTCTACCTATGATTAATTAAAAAAAAAAAAACAAGCTTAATGGTTTGACTCACTGTGACATAAAGCCAAATCTTCTGTGCTTTTACCATTAATGCATTTATTGCAATGTTAAATAGGACATGTGCAAATAATACTTTGAGTTTAAGATACCAACTTCAGCTACAGGTGCAGCTCATCCGACTGATGTCAGCAGGCAAAAGCATCACAAACATGTTTTATCATGAAACTTTCTAATCTATATCAAACAGAAGAGTACAGGAACTCACAATCTTTGGTCCCAAGAGCCTCTCTTACTGTCTGTTTCAAAGGTCAGAGATGAGATGTGAGAAAAGGTTTCCCAGTTTCCCTAAGAATCTGGTCTCATTGGAGGTGGACGACTGCCCTGAGTTCATTGGAAAACCTGCCTGTCTCAGTTAGAACCCTCTTGGGAACGAGTTTTTAATCTCACCGGGTTTCCTTGGGTTCAACAGAAGATACAATTTCTTATTTATTTAGTTATTTTTGGCGAAAGTGAAAGCAAAATAACTTCAACTGAGGACTGGAACATATTACTGATTGATTTTACAGGAATTAAATGACAAACCTCTTTCCATATGAACAACATGAAAGCCTCATATGAAACGCAGAGTGACACCGCCTTTGAGACATAACAGCCTCTCCTCAGCTTCAAAATACCCTCAAGATCATTGTCATGGTGACAGTTCCCTTGACCTTTCCATCTCACTTTGCTGCCTCCAGTTCAGCAGCGTATGTTTCTGCATCCTGATCGACCTGCTAACAGAATGAAGCTGCTCCACACCTGTCCTTGAGCTGCACCTGCTCACCTGTCCAATTTCTGCCAACTGAGACTTTCTTTTGACAAAGTGTGGATGCATTTTATCTGCCTCATCTTTCTGTTAAAATATTTTGGGTAGCTGATCTGTAATTCAAAACTAATTACCCTCTTTAAGCAGCCATTACAAATTAGTGAAAGCTAATTATACTGTTCAGATGCGAAAGGATTCTGTTGTTTTCAGCTTTCACTCATCAAAACCCTCAGAGAGGCAGTTGTAGTAGGTTTCCTAATTAATCCCAGTTAAACTTTGCAATTAATAATGCCAAAATATTTCCCAAACTGCTCTGTTAATGAATTTTATCCTGTGCTGCAGTGTTTTGTGTGTTATCTTATGATAGTTACTTCTATTTCATGTGTTTTTTGCAGAAGTTTTCCCTAATAGAAATAATGATAACAGGAGCTCAGACATTATTGTTAATTTTACACAGTTTTTACACAATGGAACATTATAAGTCATAGTCACATTGAGCTCAAATTACCCAAACAGTTTTGAGATTTTTTTTGTCAAGACTTGGTTCTTCACTTCATTTGTAGATAACACCTTCTTCAACACCTGAAGATAAAACATTCTCCTATTTCGTTATCTCTGACTGAACTGTTCTTATAATTAAATTGAGAGGTAGTCTCATTTCTTGATCAACTAGAGGTTTCATATTTGAGTCGTGATGCAGCTTGACTTTGTGGGTCAATTCCCCCTCAGAAGGAGCATTAAGAGGGTGACTAACACCTCCTATGACAGTGTTCGTCATTGACGTCTCTAAAAATAGAGCAACCTGGAATGTAACTGAAATTGTGGAAACACTGCACGTGCATACGTCCATATGTGTGTTTGTGTGTTGCATTACTTTACAGGTTGTGGATTTTGATGCTTTTTTTTTATCCCTAAGTGTTTCTGTTGAAATTTTATTTCACTTGGTAACTGGTCTCTATTTGTGTTTCTACCTGTATGCCATGACACTGAGTCATACTTTTTCTCACATCACTACAGGTTAATAACATGGCTTGGTAGACATTGTTATAGGGACTCAAACAGTACACTTTGTGACTGTTCTTTATCTTCCTACCTGTGTAGGTGTTGAAGAAGGTGTTATGTACAAATAAAGTGAAGAACCAAGTCTTGACAAAAGAAATCTCATAACTGTTTGTGTTTGGGTAGTTTGAGCTCAATGTGACTATGACTTATAATAGTCTATTGCGTAAAAATTGTGTAAAATTAACAATAATGACTGAGCTCCTGTTATCATTAGGTACATAGGTAGATAGCCTATCTATCTATCTATCTATCTATCTATCTATCTATCTATCTATCTATCTATCTATCTATCTATCTATCTATCTATCGACCAACCTATCTATTGACCTATCTTTCTATCTATCTATCAATCTACAGACCAACTGATCTATCTATCTATCTATCTATCTATCTATCTATCTATCTATCTATCTATCTATCTATCTATCTATCTACAGACCAACCGATCTATCTATCTATCTATCTATCTATCTATCTATCTATCTATCTATCTATCTATCTATCGACCAACCTATCTATTGACCTATCTTTCTATGACCAACTGATCTATCTATCTATCTATCTATCTATCTATCTATCTATCTATCTATCTATCTATCTATCTATCTACAGACCAACCGATCTATCTATCTATCTATCTATCTATCTATCTATCTATCTATCTATCTATCTATCTATCTATCTAATCTAATCTAATCTCAGTTCATTCATCCATAAATCCGTCTATGAATGTTGAGTCTTGAATGGATGTCTGTCTTTGCAGGTACCCTTCCAATCCTCTCCTCCGGTTATTTATATTCGCCAGTGAATCATATATTGTCATGGAAGTTACGCCTGCGCAGTTGAAAGCGTGAAAATCTGAATCATCGAGAGATAGAGAGAGAGAGAGAGAGAGAGAGAGAGAGAGAGAGAGAGAGAGAGAGAGAGAGAGAGAGGTGACCGTAGAGTGATGGGACCCGGCTGAGGGAAAAGCAGCGAGTGATCACTCTCCGAGCTGGTAATGACAGGTAAATGCCATTTTTAATCGTATTTCAGAATATTCCGGTCTTTGCAAAGCTCAGATGGAGGCTGGGTTTGTTGTTTTGTGCTAAATACGAAGGGAAATTATTTTTTATGCTCTTGTTCCTTCAGCGGGGTCGTCCCTGCACGCGATATCAGCTTGCACATCTGGAGCAACGTCCATGTATAAAATACATCGTTGAAAATGTTGTTCTAAACTTTGTAGGGTCTTCTTGTGCCTTATTCATCGGTTTAATGTTAAAAATGCGCGTTTCAGGGTTTGTTTTGCTACTCTGTTGAGATAAAACTTCACACTTAAGCTCATACCGGCTGATGTTATTTATCGAGATAGTATTTGAAGGTGGTTTAGACGTCAGATAACATTTAATGCAAATGTTTTGATGGAAATTGGAGATTTTTATTGAATGTGGAGCGTGCTTTCTATGTCTATGTGAGTCTCATGGGGGGTTGGGAGGACGGATGGATGAGGTCTGTTATCAGACTGGCGTCACATATTACGTCTGTGTGTTTTCCTGCTGGGGCTGAATGTAATAATGGCGTTCAGTACCACGGGCAGCTCCCGGCTCAGAGGACATATCAGTGTCAACGAATAAGCCTGAAAAGCTTACATTTTAACACCAAAACGATTTAGAGATTGAAATAGTATGTTTTTGGAAAACATTGTTGTGTTTAGAGCCAAATAAATCAATAGATGTTGTATTTCAACCATTGCTCCCATGATTCTAGCGAGGGAAGTGTCCATACCTCTGTGAAGAGTCAGCTCATGTAACCTGGTATTTGGAGGATTTCTTTAAACATAAAATATCGATCAAATAAACTAATTTTCAAATATGAGGCTGTTCTTTTGGTTTCTTGTCTGTTTGATGTATTTGTGGACCCAATACGATCATAGACACTGATAGTTAATGTGAGGAATGAAGCACATTTCATGTAATTTCAAAATCATGTTAATCATAAATGAAATCAGTTCATTTAAATTTGAACAACTTCCACCTTCGAACAACTCAAACATTGTTGGAAATGTATGATACTTTCAATCAACTTACATAGGCCAAAAAAGAGCCCCCTTTTACCTTGAAAAAACAGTCATCTTTACAAGGTTTACCTTTTATTATTTAGCTGATGAATGATCAATATTAAGTCTCTCTTGAATAGATGCAGATTTGGTACAGGCAGTTTTACCAGCATCTGGGTGGAGACAGATGTTCCTGAGAGTCTTCAGAGGGAACCAATTAAGCTGTAATAGGATTAACATGAGGTACTGTGTGTCTCATGTTAATGCTGCATTTCACTCATCACACTCACTCTAAGCCTGGCTCGAACCCTAAGATCCCAGGAACACTTTGTTATTCCATGTTTGGCCCTCTCTCAGTTTTATTTTTGAATAACTCTCATCTTTTTAAAAGTGAAAGATATTCAGATGGCAAATGCAGCCTCTGTGGTCTCTGATGGAAACACAAAAGCTTTTTCAACTTTAATTACTCCCCTAAAAGTAAACGAGGTCAACTCTAAATGAAAGGTTAAGGCTGAGGTTGGCACATGAATTTATATTATAAGCTGTGCTTAAACCACTTAAAGGTAAATGTGTGTTATCAGGCTGTATAAAGAGTATTTAACTTGATTGTGTCCTCATGCATACAGCTGCAGGATTTAGTTGTATATATTTTTTCTTTTTTTCCACCAAAAATGTACAGAAAAACAGAACGGAGGGGTTTTGCTGACTATATCAAGGGCATAAAAGTATATATATTTTTTTTTCTGCAGATGTCTTGGATGTTAAAAAAGCTGTTTTGTACCCTGTTTATTTGGAGTCCGTGTATTAGAAAATACAGTTACTTTATTACCTGACACCATATAACATGAATATTTCTATAGTTAGTTTGCAAAAACACAATAACCTTTTCACAGTAGTAGTTTGTAAGTAAGCAACATGTCTCGGCTTGAACAGTTTTCTTTTTCAGGAGGAATGATTACATATATCATTCTTAAGAAAATACATTTGTTACTGAACCAGAATGATTACTTTGTTGCGTTTTGTTTGTTAATTGTCAAAGATGCTATGACAGCACAGTTGGTTAATTTCGATGTAAAAACACGAGGTCCTGAGATAATATCCTTGTTTTTTTGCTTTTTTTCCCCCACTTCTTTAAGGCTTAACAAAAACCCTGTCGATCAAGGGGATCTCTGTTTTGTTGTTGCTTAGTTCCTCACTCTGTTGCTTTGATGGCACAACAGTTGGAGAAGAAGAGATTCAATGCTGGTTGACAAAAGTTTAAGACAAAGTTGTGTGTGACTGTTGAAAGGTGCTGAGCTGTGAAAAGCCTCTGGATCCAAGATAAATAATTGGGGAAATGGAAGTGTTGTGAAATATTATGTACCACTGCAAATGTTGTTCTTGTCCTTTATTGCCATTCTTGTAGGTGTGACTTTTGTTGTAACATAGAAACATATACAAGAAAGAAATTAAATCTAAGATTAATAAGCCTAACTTCAAAGATTTTGTGTTGTAAAACCACATCAGTTAAAGAATACTGAGAATTTATTTGAACAGAAATGATTGTACTACATTTATATATTACATTATGTACTTTGTTTAAGGAAATCTTATATTTACAAATCTGAAAAACTGTCTTCCTTAAAGAAATAGAACATGCTGAACTTCATACAGTTTGATTTCAACAAGCAACCTTGTTCATAATGACTTCTCTGCAAATTCACTGTTTATTTATGACTTTTACATGCAACAAAAGAGAAAATACAAATGTCAGCACTTGGTGTATTCAGCTGATATAATACTGACTCTATGGAGGTGGACAGATATTATATTTCACGGTTTATTTCATAAACCCAGACAAGGAGAATGCATCATTAATCTCAATGTACTGAGGCAATGATGCCTTCAGTACAATGTTACATAACTCCCCTCTAGCTCTCTGTGTGTGAGGATGTATACTCATGTGTATAAATGTATAAATGTACAGCAAAGCTGTGTGGGTGGTTTCTCATAGCAAGTGTGTAGTCTCGTATTCATGCATTTATATAATTTTGTATTTGTGTGTGTGTGTGTGTCCTCACTCAGGCTGACAGATGTAAAGGATGACTTCCTGCTCAGAGATCTGTGGGTCGGACTACAATGAGCAAGCTCAAGCCAGCGGGAACTGCCAGCAGTACGGAGTCCGCTCCTACCTTCACCAGGTACAACATGAACACACACACACACACACACACACACACACACACACACACACACACACACACACACACACACACACACACACACACACACACACACACACACACACACACACACACACACACAAATAAATGGCATCCTTACAGAAAAATGGATCTTTATCTGATATAAGCCCTCATTCTTGATTGTCTCATTTTGTAATTGGCTCTACTTTTTAAGACTGTGGGTTTTAGAATCTGACCACTTCGTTTTCAAACGTATCTATCATCTCTCCGATCTATTAGTTTTATGAAGAGTGCACAGCTTCCATCTGGGAACGTGATGAAGATTTTCAGATTCAGAGATCGCCAAGCAGGTGGAGCTCTTTACTCTGGAAGGTAAGACAATAACCTTGATCTCGCTGAAATAAAAACCCTCTCACCTGCTGCTTTCTGAATAACTCTATTCGGATTCAAATTGAAATGAGTGAGATCCCTCAACTCCCTCTCCCCACACCTGCAGGTCTGTCTCGCGTTCGGCTCTCTGATCTTGGTAGTAGGCCTCATTGTCGTGTTGGTGGGTTACGGCACTCCAGCTAGGATTGAAGCGTTCGGCGAGGATGATCTGCTTTTTGTTGACAGGTGAGAACTGACACCACAGAACCAATATGAGAATTCACAGGCGAGACACAAAGACAGGATGCAAAATCAGAGTCTGTTTAATCAAAGTTGGAGTGGATGCGCGAGGGGGTCAGAAAAACATGCAGGAGAATCCAAATTGAAATGATAAAAGTAAACGCTCGAAAAAACACGAGGGAGAGCTGGCATACTGTCACGAGGGAACTAGACAACTGGCACAAAAAGAGACAATAGTACTCTTCGAGTGAGTGGAGACATGACAATAACACTTTTGACAGAATATTGAATAAAAAGAAGCATTTAAACAGAATTCAATTTAAACTACTTTAATAGTCCCGCTTGGCTTTGTTGGTTTTGAGTCGCGTGTATTTCATAACAGAGAACACAGCAGAAAAATAGACACAAGAAGTACAATGGCTTACCTTAAACAGCCCACTGAAATGCTGCATAAATAAATAGACTTGAAGATAATGAAATATGTTTAGATGGTAAAGGGATCATTCTTAAAAAATAGGAGAATATGTTTGAGAACAAATCTTGAGTTTTTGACAAAATTTCCTGTAAATTTATTCTTTATTTTCTTTCACTACCTGTCCATGTTTTCCTTAGGGCATGAAAAAAGAAATAATTAAACAAACATTTTATGTTTTTTATCAAATCTTGTCATAAAGTTGTTGAACTAGTTGAATTAAATGTTTTTTAAAGAGGATTTTTTTTTTTGCCAAAAGCTGTCAGACTTTTTCAGGTTTAGATAAGATAATGTATAATGGTGAAATGGTAGTTATGCAAATTGGAATCCCAGCAGGGTGAGCCAGAGCCTAACACAAAGTGAAGAGGTCGAGCTCAGCTTGATGGGATCCTAATATATTAATTTTAAGTATCTGAATTCTGTTAACTTACAGATATTCACCTGCTTTTTGTTATAATTCACACTAAACATAAAGAAAATCTCACAGCTTGTTATTATCACTGCTTACGGTTCCCATTCATTCATAGTAACTGGCAACTGAAAGACTGGTATCCAGGACAGGATGGTGCTCCACTTTACTCTTTCAGAGATAGTCTGGGCTCCTCAGGCTACTCTTGCATTTACATATTGTTTCCTGACTCTCAGAACCAGCCCTAAGATAGAGGCTAATACTCCTGCCACATTCTGAACAGGTAGAGGTGAAATATATCAGACGTCTTGAGTGGATTGGTTTAATATAATGTGTGTGATTAGGTTGTTCCTGGTGTCACTTTTATTGCTGAGAGTTAATCAGTGTTATGGGGTTTTAACCACCCAGAATGAAGTGTTTAACACAGCCTGGTAATAAGTGAGAAGGCCAGGTAATAAGCAGATAAACATGTTATAATTACAGTCCAGTAATGCTGTGAACTATTTGTCTTTTCCTTGAACAGCCACGCTGTCAGTTTCAACCGTGCGCTGGATGTTTGTAAGCTGACCGGCGCTGTGTTGTTCTGTGTGGGAGGCACCTCCATGGCTGTGGGTCTCCTGCTGTCTGCCTTTGCCAAAAGCTACTCCAAAGAAGAGCTGTATCTGCAGCAGAAGTTTAAGGAGAGGTTGGCCGATCTGCACGCAACTGTTGGTAAGATCTTACTTTTTACCGACAACCCTAGACCTGTAGGCTAATATCTATATGGGGCTTTCATTGTATCCTCCTGTTGGGGGCTGAAGGAGGTTTGGCCAAGACTGCATTATCTGTGTTTTGCCTTTGTTCACAGTTTGCTCAGCAACTGGGAAAGTGAGCTCGAGATAGTGTTAAGAAACACTACAGTGTAGTTGTAATCATTTGGTTCTGCATAACAACCGGCTGACTATCCAAATCCTTTCCTTAATTAAAGCAAGCGTCAAGTTAGATGACTACGGACGGGTTTCAGGATTGCAACATAGTGGATTGTATTTCTTCCCTTTGCTCTTATTACTGACAGTCTTCTTTCATAAGACCAATACAGATATATACAGCTTTTATACCCCAAACAGGAACCTCGATTAGGGATGAACCAATCAACATTTTTTCACCTTCAATCCGATCACAATTCCTGAATCTGGATATCTGCCAATACCGATACTATTCCGATACCACAGCTCTGTTAGCTTTACCATCATTATTATCATTATTGTTTATTTTATATGAGACTATGATAAACAGGTAAGTATATGTACGAATGATTTCCTGAACGGAGGCGTGTCTCATCTCTGTGTCTCATTAAGACACGCCTCTGTTCAGGAAATACATTGCGCAGTTTGCACACCAGCTAGCAGACTGACCGGTAAGACTCACTTGTACAGTCATTTCAGCAGACAAAGTTAAAGCAAAGGCATGGCTTATGGATCGGAAATTTTCGCAGGTTGGATTGGAAATTTCCGATCCGTAAATTATGTTGGAAGAAACCCAATACTGATACTGGATCGGATCGGCCTCATCCCTAACCTCGACACCAAAATCCAGTCCCCGACACTGTATGATAATGCATAACCTATAAACAGAGAGACAGTGCCAAATCAGAAAAGAAACTAGATTTTAGTATGAACATCTTAAATTTGTTATTAATTTAGGTGTCTACATATTATATACTTTGTCTATATACTGGTTATACACTTGTGAATGAGTTTTCAACAAAGCAGATGGTTTCATCGCAGGTTCCCCCATAATGAAGGCGCCAACCCCCGGAGAGGGAAAAGTGCCCGTCACACTCTCTAAGGTACAGAACATCCAGCCAACAACCACAAAGTCAGAGACCTGACAGAAGTCTACATGAAGTCATAAAGAGAAGAAATGTATGTGTGAGAGTGTGTGTAATGACTTGATTGATTTGTGTGCGGACTGTGTGGGTGTGAACATGTGTGTGAATGTCAATCTGTGTGCATTTTCTCCTCCTTTTGAAAGGTCAGCTTACATGACTGATAGTACTGGTTCCTTATTTGCTGTTTGACATTAAAGCTTGATTATTTTAAGGGTCTATAGGTGCAAAAGTAATCAAGCTGATCAAAGATGAACTCCATCAGTAGTTTTATATATGCAGGTCTGGAGCCTTGTGCATGGATCTAAACCACAGGAACAAATCAATAGACCACAGCAGAACGACACTATAGTAGTAAAAATATTTCTCATTCTTTCTTTTTTATTTTTTTTTGGAAGGATACTCATGCATAAAAGTAGATGGTATATTTACTGGAGGATGTAGCGGAGCAGATGCAGCATTGACAAAATTTCTCTTAGCCTCCATTCACAAACTCGATCAAAAGAAGCCATGAACATGGATACCGTTATCTTTGTTTTTCAAGCATTTTTTTCTGTACCTTGTGTTTGCAACTTATTCACAACAACCAATGAAAGCTGTCAATCAAAACCGCACAATATCATCACATGTGCTTAAGCTGATTTATTCTACGTTAGTCATGTTAACATGCTAGTGGAGGAAAGAGACAACTTAGTTTGAGTATTTAGCTTGAAGTTTACAGATGATCTGAGCAGATTAGAAGAGACCTTAAAGGGTACATTTCACACTGACATTTTCTCCTGCCTTATTAGACCGCTGACCTTCAGTGAGTTTTCTGACAGGATCAATAGAGGAGACAGCACAGACCGATGAGAGGTGCATTGAATCAGACAGAGAGCATGCAGGACAATTTAGTCTGCTGCTTAATAAAGGGATTAACTTCAGGATCATATAAATAATGTATTCATAATGGATCGATGTATGATTTTTGCCTGTTTCACTGCTCCTCCTCTCTTACAAAAACAAACCTGCACACATCGATCCGTTTTGGCAACTGTTTAACTCAGATCAGACCTTCAGCCACTTGTCAAAAGTGCAGGTGCTGTGTGGTAAAATGGTGCAAAGGGAGCATCAAGAGAGGCAGCAACGTGACAGAGATGTTGCATAACAGGGTGTAAGGAGAGCATGACCAACCCTCCAGTGAGATCCCATCAGCAACATCGTGTCTGACAGCGCGACACTTGCTGTTTTCAATCTGTCTGGCTCCACAGATGCTGTGATCACATCTCTGCCTTCCCACGAAGCATATGTCTTATAGGAAGCTGACAATTAACAAAAGCTCTGTTTGCTGGTTTCATTTTCACCTGTGTACAAAAGACCTTGAGGTTTCTATCTATGTAACACAAACGCGCTCTTTTACTGTAACTTACAAGCACAATAGGCTGCTAAGCTCATCTCTGCTTTTTAAAAACTACATGTTTGGGGACTGTATGTTTTAAACATATTTTTATTATCGTGACCATGCCACTTTATATGATAGTGATTTTTTTTCTCTGTGTTACTTTCTTCATGTATTGAATCTACTGTCCACAACAAGCTAAACTGTAAAAATGCTGTTTTTTTCCTTTGAGTACTTGTTTATAAAATGTTAGTGTGGTAGTCACAGTCCAAGTGCCATCAAGCTACATGCATTGCTGTGCATTGATGCTGCTGGAACCCCCTCCAATAGAGTCCTCTCCTCAGATCCATGCAGTAATAATGCCATACACTTACTGTATAAATTAATATTCTATTATACTGGCTAACTACGCTTATGTAAGTTGATCTTTTACTTTTATTCCAACAACCTCCACTTATTTGTCCACCTGCTTAACTTTTGATATCATTTTCACACACTTAGTATCGCATAAACCACAGACTCGTAGCTCAAACAACGAAGAACAGCACATTAGAAAAACTAAAAAGACATTTACAACCACGGTTAAGCTGCAAACCAAGTGTGAACAATTCAAAGGCAATCTATTACAGAAGGTGGTATCGACCAAACATCCAGTGTGATCAGAGTGTTCTTAAGTAACTGATAAATGTGCTGACTTGTAACTCTTCATGCAGTGATTCGTGCATTCATTTTTACATTTTTACATTGACCAAAGTTGAGTTCTGCATCACAATCCCAATGCCATAAAGATTGTTTTTTTCTTTTCTTTAATCAGACCATGAAAGAGAAATGGTCTCCCAGTTTTAAGTGTCTCCTGATGTAACAGTGGATTTTACTGTTGAATGGTAAGGTAACTGTACTGTTGCTGTACTCGAGGTCTGGTTGGATAAAGAACAAATATATCAGTGTCTATATATACAGTATGTCTATTTTTCAAAGAACACAATAAAAACTATCTGCAGCTTAAAATCTGTGACGATTGTCTTTTTGATAAAAATACGCTCAACCATGGCTGGATTAAAGAGCTCTTGATACTAACCAAGTATGAATAATAATGAAAATAGTAGTTTTCTATTTTATATGCTGCATTTCTGCACTGCTTCAAACTCTGGTCCCACAACGGATGCACAAAATGGTGCAGTACATACAATTCACTAATAAGCACTGATTTCAAAACTGTTTATAATTTTGATTATTTAATTTCATCTGAGGAAAATGACATATAAGAGTTGCTTTCATTTTTGTACACACATACACATTACGACTTAGGAAGGTAGTTGTTGAAATATAGAACAAAGACAAATCACAAAAAGTGATGAGAAAAATGACACCACCCATGTGGATGTCAATCTCTGCTAAAATAAAGGATTTTTACAGTGGAGAATGCAAAGAATGCAAAAGAAAATTAAAGAAGCCACAACAGAAGTTACTGAGGCAAAAAAAAATAAAATAAAAAAATAAAAGCCACTACCGAAGTTAACAACGCAAAAAAAAGTGGCGATGCATGGCAAAAAGACGAGCAAAGATGTAAGTGGAAAGGTTTTTTTTTTTTTATTTCACTTTGTGTACTTTTAATGTGTCATTTGGTCAGACCATGTTGCACCTGAGTCGATATGAAGTCGATCTGGAGGATGCCAGTGTAGTATTAGCTTCAGTTCAACTTCATATCAGCTCAGGCGCTACGTGGCCTAACCAAATGACACACTGAAAAGCCCATGAAGTGAAATTAAACAATGACCTTCAACTTAATTCTTTGCTTGTTGCTAGATTTGAGACTTCCAACCTAAAACATCACGTATCTTAGACAAAAACAAAATTATTAGGTACTTCATCCATCAGTGTTAAATGTGCTTTTGTCTGTTCTGAGGATGCTCTTTAGTCCAAAGAAATGAACAGAAAAATATTTGTTTTCATGTCTAAAGAACTCTAAAGTGCAAACAGAGCAGCTATAAGATAAGCCTTCATTACTCTGTGGAAGCTGTTAATATAATCAATCAGAAGAGTCATTTAGGTAGGAAGAAGAGCAGACAGGTTTCAATGCTGTTCAGAGCCTCATTTACACACACACGCACGCATGCATGCACACACACACTCAAAAGGGACCACTGTAGGAGATAAAACAGAATTGATGGCTGCTCCAGAAATAGCACCTTAAGGATCATCACCCCAACCAGTCAGGCTATATATGACTCACTTGCACACCCGCCCCTGCTTCCTCTGCCCATCTCTGTGTCTCCTCTCCCCCTGCCACTTCACCCTCTCTCCCTCACCCGTACTCCTACCCCTCGGGATGGTGACTCACGAACACACCAACTGCATGAATCCCAGTTTGAGCAGCTGCAAGGGGGAGTGAGCACTGAAGACGTCATACACATTGAATCAGATCACAACTCACACTATAACTACGTGTGTAGAGGAGAAGGTTTTATAGTGTTTTTATGAATCCTGGTTGGATGGGGAGCGAGAGAGGCAACAAATAAAAAAAAAGATGTGGACATTAGTCCCTGGATCTTGCCTCACTTGCTGGCCCACCAGTATTAGAGCTTCTTAAGACACAGAACCTGCCTCCCTATCTTGTTAGATTTCATATTACACTAGAGGTGCAAATAAAATAAGTTTGGTACACGTGGTAATATTATTGGTTGTGAACAAAGTAAAACTGTAGGCATTTAAGGTTATATATGTATATATTTTTATATTTCTGTATTTTACATTACTGTAATCCTTTTGAATTTCCCCTCGATGATAAATAAAGTTCTTCCTATATTATCTTAATGTACATGATATAACAGAGATCAAGAGAGAGCAGAATCTGTTTAATTAGGTGACTTTAATTTCTCTTCTGGCAGAACAGATATAAATAAATGAATATGCATACATTACAGTGGCTACTTGATGAAGGATAATAGTCTGGAAAAACTGCCAAAGAAGGCTTTAAACTATAGATTTATTATTAAATATTCTTCTGCTGAACATTTTAACACATACTGTATGCAAACACAATCACACACAAGATAAAATAAGATATACTTTGTTGAATAAATCTTATCTGGCTAAAGCTGATTACTGTCACATATTCCCGGGACAAAAACACCATACATACAAAAAAAACAAAACAAAACAAAACACCATCTTTAACAAAAAGCATCAAGAATAACCATATTTGTAAAAATAAACATTTAAATTGTTTATATATTTTTTAAATTTTACAATATCTAAGTTTCTTTTTGTTGCACACAGATCATGTATTTGGGATGTAAAATATAACCCAAGTGCTAACAGTACTTCTTGACAAATAAATCACTACAACCATTTGACTTGATACAACTTTATGTTTTGATAAATATGCTTTGTATATATTACTGAAATTATGATTGTGTTTCTGTGCATCAATAAGCAGTCAGATACTGAAAGCTTCTAAAACTGTTCACATTTGGACTCTGTTTTTGTTATAACAGTAGATTCTACAAGGCGATTTGGTGAAATATTAATCATTCCTGCTCTGCATTCTGGGAATTCGCTCCCTCATCTTAATTATTCTTTAATTATATTGCAAAGCATTACTTCAGCACAACACATCTCCTAACATTGACATCTTTAGCTCTTTATCATTCCTTCTCTTTGCTGCTTTGAATCTTGTTTTCTTTCTTATCCCTCTGCTCTTTCGCTGTATTTTCCATGCCCTCTTTGCCACTGGCTGTTTTTTTCTCCTCCAAGTCCAGCTCTGCTTCACTTTCCACCTCATCATCCTCACCACTGATCTCTCCGTTCACCATTTTCTCTTCTTCTCCCAACTCTTTGGTTGTGCTAGCGTCCTCATCCTGGTTACTGTTACCACTGCTGCCTCTTTCTTTGCGGTTCTCTTTTGTGTCGTTATCTGATTGGGTCTTCTCTGGGTCACTGCTGTTTTCTGTCTCTTTCTCTTCCTCCCCCGTGTCTACATCATTAACTTGGTCCTTACTGCTCTCTTCCCTCTGTTCGCTCTCTTTATCTTGCCCCTCTTCTTTTATATTTGTGTCATGCTCAAGCTTTTCACCTTCATGGCCTTCATCCTCTTTCTCTTTGCTTTCCAGAGTCGTATCACCGTTGCTACTGCTGGACCCTTGCTCTTCACTCTTCACCTCCTCCTTGCCCTCATCTCTGACCTCCTTCTTTATTTCCTCTTCTACCTTCTTCTCCTCGGCGCCTACAGTTGCCTCTTTCTCTTTTTCAACACTTGTGTCCTCATTTTTCTTCTCTTCATCTCCGCTGGTTTCTTCAGAGGTGTTCTTGTCAGCAGCTTCCATCTTTCCTTCTCCCTCCTTCTCTCCTTTCTCCTCTGCGGCTTTTGTTTCATCATCAGCAGGTTTCTATAATGCAATAAAGCCACAGAAACAAATTTATAGCTCTAAATAACAGGCATACAGTGAAATTAGATTGTTTACAGTTACTCTTCCTTTGACCTACATTTCCTAAGAGAGAGTGAAAGAGAGTGACAAAGAAATGGAGACAAAGCAAAACATGTTTACTTCAGTGCCAAGAACCTTTTCACGTAACAAAACAATGGATATGTCAGAAGTCACGACAACAATTAAAACGTCGGTGACAACAGTCTGGTCAAAGACGGAGACGACAAGCGGAACTACGACACTGTGAACAATGATGACATCAACTGTTAAAATAACCTTACATATCCAGAGTTTCTTCAAGTCAGCAAGCTCTACAAAGTCTCAAGCCTTGGGTAGAGAGAGTGGGTGTAGCACAACAGTTTATGAACTTCCTCTGTTAATACAAGCTTCAGGCTCTGGGTGTGCTTCTGTGGAAAAGGGCCATTAAGCACGTCATTTGATGCTTCTCCTGCATCAAAAATGAGCAACCACTTGCTGTTTGCTTTAGTCTGACTGGCATAATGTGGAAAGAAGATGAACGTTTAAGTGTTATGGCAGTAAAATTCAGCTCTTCTGCAGAAAATTATTGTGTAAATTCATAAATTCATATATTGATTTTATCATTGGATACATGCTAAGTGCCTCTTATTTATCTTTAATTTGAGCGGTTTGAATTTGATTTAAACTGAGATAAATATAAATACACTAATCAATCTTGTCATCTGATTTTGATGGAAAACCAGCTGTTTACACAGCTTGGCAGGGTTTCAGATCCAAACATTGAACCATTTCCAAATGTAGTTCATAGATAGTTGTGCTTTTGATGTTCTTCACTGCACAGGTGATCTGATAAAATTTCAAGTGCGACATGAAGAAGAGCAGTAAAACAAGAAGAGGGAGACTGGAGAAGGTGGATTATATTCATGTCTAAAAGAATTTAAAAATATTCAAGCAGTCAAAATGCAAAGGCTCCCATAATGCAGTGCATACATTATAAGCACTGTACATCCTTACTCTATGTTATATAACAACAACAACAATAATAATAATAATAACAACAAGAATAATAACAACAAGAATAATAACAACGATAATAATAATAATAATAATAATAATAATAATAATAATAATAATAATAATAATAATAATAATAATAAAATGACTCATTCTACACAAAGTGATGACCTGTTTTGTACATGGAGAACTCTGTCATGGATTCAATCAGAAATGACTGCTGGCTTGAGCTGTAACACTGAGTTGGCCTGGTGAGTTTAGAGAAGGTTACCATGGTGATCTGGCCAAGTTAAAAAAAGAACCAGCTTTTCGACATGGAAAACCCTGGGCTTTGGGCTTTACAGACACATGTCTACATCAGCTATGGTGTAAAATACATACTGGGATTTTTCCAGGTAAAAACTGCTTGTCTCTTTCAGATTATATACTTGGATTAGCAACATTGCTTGTGATGACAGATGTCACACCAAACTCAAAAGTTCACCCCTGGGACTGTGAGGCGTCTGTCTGAAATACATCTACAGATTTAAAGTAGCATTCAAAACACAGTGTGGACTTCTAGAAATGTGGGAATAAAAAACAGAATGGACTAGCTCTTTAAAAAGGATGTTAAAAGGGGTTTTATGATTGACGACAGGTTTGATTAACTGGACCTCAGCAGGAAGGGGATTTGATATAAGTATGATCCTCATCAGGATGTAGAGCAGACTATTACAAACCATCCTGTGATATACTTCTAGTTCAACAAGAGAAAAAGAAATACCGTGTGACAGACTAAACCCACCACTTATTGAAAGGAACAGCACGCTTTGGGCTCTAATGACAGAGCTACTTAATAAGATGCCTTCATTTGTCCCTCTACCAGTCCATTATGCACACCGAAGTTTGTTTACCTCTTCAGCTGGCTGTTCTTGGGGGGGATTGTCCTCACTGTTTCCATCATCAGCCTTTGCTTCCAGCTCATCTGGAAATTAAAAAATAATAATAATATTAAGCAATGTGTCAAATAATAAGGAGCACTTTCGTAAAGTATTTTCTTTACAGTGTGTTTTAGTGTGAAATAATGACATATGGATATACTGTATGTGTGTTTCCTCCAAATGTGTGAAATTGTGTCAAAGTAAGCTTGTTTGGGTAATTAAAACATGGAAACAAGTTCAGGGGAATCTCTGGTACAAGAATGTGTCGTCCATCTAACCTAGGCTTTAAAAGAGCCAGTACAACCAAACAGAGACAGATATTAAATCAAACAACATAAACTGTATAGCAGACAGTTATTTCCTGAAAACAAAACAGACGTCAGGGTGGCTGCAGATTAATGTTACTCATTCGATTCTGGCATAAAACAATCTAAAACGACCTTGCTCTAATTTATAGTCATGTATTGCTGTTGTTGTTATTTCAAACCCCCATTCAATCAATTTTCTTACAGCTTGAATATTCCTGTACGAACTGACTACTCTGTTAGAGCCTCACCCCTGAATTAATCAGCTAAAGCTGATAACCACACTCTTGGAAATCATAGAACCTCTCCTTTTTATAAGAGGATCTCCTTTTCTACTCCAGTTAGTTACTTGTTGATATTTTACATCTTTAATACTGCAGCTTTGGTTAGTGAACAGCACAAGAGTGACACCTGGTGGTGAAGCATGAACACCCAAAGACCAACCGAGGCAGGTAAACAACCTCCTCAGATAACAACAGGATGCCATGAGAGAAACAGAAAACATTTTATAAGACGTAGGGAAGAGGGGACAGCAGGGGATTTCAGGGCCATGAAAGCTTAAAAACAAACAAACAAAAAAACACTTTGTTGTGATTATTTTGTAATGATAATTTTAACTCATAGTTAAAAAAATACAGGTGTTGTTGTTGGACTCAAAAACATGAAAAGAAGAACTTCGCTTTACATTTAGGCATTGTTTTTTTGAGTATTACTAGGTTTCATTTTATTAAGATTGGCTTTTATTAAGATGTAACACAGTAACTTATAATACATAAGTAATAAATATTATAATAAAGATAGCTGTGAGTGTTATTCAGTGATTTTCCCACCACACAAGACCAGATTGGTTTTAACATAAAATAGCAAAACAAATAAGGAAGAACAATAGTCTACAGGACTACAAGAGCACATCTCCCACAATTCCCAGGAGGAATCGCTTGTCATAATTTACTGTCTAAACAGCTGCACAATGATACTGGGGGTCTTGGGGTTTTTAATGAAGACATCACACTGCAACCAAGTACCACTAACGTTCAATTCATCTGAAGCAATCAGTTCCACAAGGCACATTTGCTTGAGTGCAATATTAATACACTATTTTTAAAGTTTTCATTTGTCCATCAAAGGCCTCGGAGTAATTAACCCAAAACATCATAAGAGGAATACAACTCCACGCTCTGATAAACAACATAATTACACTCTTGTTTTGAAACCCTGGATGAGACTGAAATTTCCAATCAGAATTAAGCGGCGAAAGAGTGTACTTAAAAAAAAGAGAACAGAACAGTGTAATTAATGTCTTTAATATTAGTTTCCCTTTCCACACACACCAGTTAAAGAAGAAAAATGACTCTGGTGGAGATTAGAAGAGTTTATGGAGACATTTAATGCATTTCAAATGCAAAACTGATTGAAGTTTAGCTATGGTGGGAGATGAAACGTTATGGTAATAATAATGGACCTCTTTAAGAATATTTTATGGAAATCGCTGCATTCATTAAGAGCAGCCAGGGCCAGGCGATAGTGTAAGCAGTAAGCACAGAATGAGCCGCTGTGACTCCAAACATCTTATCATGACTTGAGGATCATGAAAGTGCTAAATCAAATTAAACTGAATGGCTCCTTTCTGCACTTTATCATATCCTGTAGATTTGAGATTTGGGACTGCAAGTATACACACTGACACAGACAAAACACAGTCACATTTTAGAGGTGTTACAACATCTCATCCATCACAGCAAGCTAAAACAAGAATGCAAGAGTAAGTGCGTATAATTACTCATATAAATCGCTCTCTCTGCCATTCTTCTGAAAGGTAGAATTACAAATGACCGTAGTTGCAGAGAAATGTAATAAAATTCAACTAAAGATGAAGTGATAGCAGGTAGTGCACTAGAATAACCTCCTTCTCAACAAACAACCTCTTTCTCTATCTTCCTTACAAACAAACACGCATGTTATCCTCTACTGCTGCAGGAATTTATTTTTAGGGGACTGCTTTAAAAGAATAAACAAATAAAAAAGGAGGCCCTTTGTGATCTCTGCATACATAGAGTTGCACAATAACATGCAGCATCACTTTGATCTGGTTTTCCATTTGATGTGCTCATCCAATTCCAGTAACCTCAACACGCCGGGGGAATCCAGAGAGCAGTTTACACCAGGTAACATGATGTAAATACTATTCAATGAAATATGTATAGACCATATTCATCAACTTAATTAATAAAACAACAACGTGGATCACAGAAGAGACAGCTGTGCTCACATGAACCCTGAATTGCATTGTCAACAACACAGTCCCAACACAGCGCAAACAAACAGATGCCTCTTCTTTCCAATTCTTTCTGCGGGATATAAAGGGCCTGTTGCTAATTTCTCTAATCATAACAAACTGCAGAGTTCAAACCCAGCAGGGAGTTAGGTAACCAATGTGTGAATCAAACTTTACTCCATCCTCTTCCAAACCCTCTTCTTCTAATGTCAAGTGTTGATATGCATTACGTCAGTGCTGTCTCGCAGAGTCTGAGTGTGTAGCCACTTCTTGCAGAGACTTGGAGGATCTGGTATCACATTCAAAAGCCGTTCTAGTCCTCCAGGAAGCGATTCTGAGAAAACTCATCCACTGCTATCATGTACATGATTCCTGAGTGAATCTTCAGCAGAGCGAAAATGGGGCACGAATACATTTTCCTCATAACAAACCGAAGCACAGTGAAATAAATGAGGTTGTTGACAACAGTAAAGTCACCACAGGAGATCATTGTGTTCTTTGTATTGTGCAAATGATTTGATAACACGTTTTGGAAAGCTTTTGTTCATTTTTCAAGGATTAGAAGATTCAGTTCTGTGAAAAGAAAAAGGCTGAATACAGCGGAACCATAGACTGGAAACTACTGGAAACTATATCTAACACAGAGCGTGTGCTGAAAATGTCAAAAACAAAACATAAAAGAAAAGCACCTTCTTTTCTAACAGGAAAACGCACAGAAATATATCATTAAGCATCACAACTGGTTATTACAATACACATTATGTAGACCAAAGTGGACTTTTAAGCCATTATGGTCCTTGAAAGGAAGGCCTGCTGAACAATTTGAGGTCTCAATCACCACAGAGGGGGTATAACGCTCATTCTATTGTCCCCCTGATAGCTCCTCAGCAGCTTAACATGATTTCTAGATCAATGTTTCTTAAGGCTGCTGTCTTTGAAAACCTTAATTTCAGCCCCTGAGTCTGAGATACTTTGTTTAGGCCCGCCTCCTCCCAGCATTCCAGAACCCAGCATTCTGGAAGCTTCCTTCACTGTTGTCATACAACAAAATTGTGTTTTTTTTTGTAAGATGATATATTTGTCCTTTTAAGGAGTTTCGCTGTCTGGTGATGTCATGACTTAAGCACATATCAAATTGATTTTGCTGAATTTTTGTGTGACTTTTTGAACAAGCCATTCAAAGCACCTAAAAGTCCTACCTGTTGATTCCTTCAACACACATTAACCTTTCAATCTGAACCTTGGTCATGCATAGTACTGGCAAACAGCATTTTAACTCAAAATAAGCACAACACCACCTCTTTGAAGCAACACGCTTTTTAATTGCATCATTCTTATCTGTTGCAACATGGGTAGACATTTTCCAGAAAATGCTTTGTGTATCTTGGTCAATATGATTACAGCACCAATGTCTTTTCTTCCAATGCCAGCCCTTGAAAATCCCTCAAAGGGAGAGGCTCTAATTCAAAGAAATTATAGTTTCAGTGCTTAGAGTATGAATGCAATAGGATCAAAGCATGAAAGGCTCACTGTAATGCTCCACAAGCCAGTTTTACTTGAATTAGATTAGCTGTGCAGTGTTAAATGAACACTCAGATCTTGATGTAGTACTTAATGTACCTAAAACCCTTCCTGTATATCCTCATGTACACAACACCATACTACTTATATACACCCAGATGATTTAACCCACTCAGCACATGGCTGAGTTATAGCAGGCTGTAAAACAACACGGGTAGTAACTGTTAATGGTGATTATGAAATGTTGCCACTCAGCAAGTGTACTCCAGTCAGAGACCAAGGTCCTGTTAAAACATTTAATGAGTGTATGACCAGTCACCATAGAAAGGCCTGGCCGGTGTTGAGGTTTATAGTAATGTGGTCGCCAGAAAAACAATCTAGCTGCTCGACGTAAAATCTGATGACTGGACTTTGTACCTATTCATGCGGTCCTCTTTGTCTCATGTATGCACTCAATATATTTTTATCAGATTCCTATGAAACAAAAATATTAAAGGGGGAAAAAGATTCACTCTGAAAAGTGTTTAATATAAAGATGGGCTCTATCATATTTGTAATACTAATGCCTAAGGCTAAAGATATTAAAGTGTGGACTAAAAGGACAGGTCATTGATATTACTTACAAAGTTCAGTTAAACAGTGAAAGGGGAGTTTAAGATGTCTTCTGTGGCTTAAAAAAAAGCTTTTCACCCACAAAAGCAACAAAAAACAAAGAAAAAATGTCTCTTTCAAAAATGTTCCCCCTTTAAATCCCAAAATGTTATAGAAGTGGAGTTTTCAGACATCAGGCAGTGCCTTTAAACCTTGGCACCAATAAAACTGATGGAAATTGTGGCCAGAACCTCATCATCACAGTGCATCCACTGAATTACAGATCCTGTATTGTGTGTGGGGAGGACAAACAACACATATGTCCACCCTGACAGTTATTTTAAATGAGTAACGTCCTATACATTAAGCTGTGATTGTAATATGCATTGAGTAAATGAACCCCGCACCATGTCTCTGGATAAAGCAGACATTCCCTGCAGTATAAGAACCTTATCTACGGTGTGTGTGGCTAAGATAGCTTTGACATTAAATCAGAGGAAAGCTCTGCTTAACAATGTTGCAGTCAGACAGGCAGAGTAATATTTATAAAGGTCATGGCTTTAGTTAAATAATTTAATCATATGTGGAGTTCGTTCTCTCAGTTTTCCTCCAGTTGCCTCAAGTCTTATCACCCGCTGTCCTCATGAGGTAAAGGCTTTATTCTTAAGACTTCTGTCTATGATTGGAATATGATAATACATCTGAATAAGATTTTATTTTTCAGTTTATAATCAGGATTTTATGCTTTTAAAATATTCTGTAAATAATCAACTCCCAGCAGTTAAAGCATTCAATATGGTTGATAAAATCAGTCCAAGGAGAGCAGTTCAGTAATTTCAGCTCTGCCTGTTGACACTGTAGCAAAAACACAAGTGTACTATATCATTAGGCTAAGTAATACAAGTAAATTTTCAATATTAGTTTTACTTCATTTGGAAAACACAAAACTCTAACAGCCAATCTCTCAGGGAGATAATCTAACTACAGATTTACGACTTCATTTGCATGTGTAACAATGTTAAAGAAGAAAGAGATCTAAAAGAAGACATAAATATTTCTGCAAAAGTCCTGTTAAATGTGCAGTTCAATGTGAGCTATACCAAATAAACACGCTAATGTTTTGGCTAAGTTGTGAATTGAAACAATCTGTTGAATGATAATTTGTCCTGCATTTCATCTGAGAAGAATCTGTTGCCATGGTTTTAATCCATAACCACTGTTAAGAAGTTCTGTTTTTGAGCTGAATATATCAACTGGATCTAAATCAATAAAATAAACTCTTCATTTAATATTTTGTGTCAACTTGTCTCTAGTTGGTAGTGGAATTATGCAGTGAGTGTGTGGTGGTGTGGACCAGGATGTGAACAGATTGAGCAAGACCCAGACATAAGATGAAGGTAGACTTGTGCCACCTTGAATGTGAATCTGACCTCACTGTACAAATGATGTAAATCGATTATGTAAAGAAAACTGAAAAATGTATTAGTTTTTAAGTCTTTTTCTGTTAAATAGCAATGTTTTGATGCGTCTTAAACTGCATTGTTTGGACTTGGGTTGTTGAAAAATTTTGGTATTGATAACTCTGTTTTGGAAGAAAATCAAACATTGATATTGTGCTGAAATTAAGCTTGCTATGATATCATGAGGTCATACTAGTGGTTCTTAACGCCGGTGTCCACATACTCACATAAAATGGTAGAGAGATGAAGAGGCAGCTAGCAAGCTAGCTTACGCAGCCTTTTCAGTCTCATTTGAAAACTAACATCCCTAGAGTTATCTTGAATCACAAAACAATCTTAGGGCTTGTGCCTAAATAATTGAACATTTACACTTTCTAACTGTCTTCAAGTTGTCTCCTAAATTACTATCTGCCAGAGGTAGCTTGTACTTCAAAATGAAAGCATGGTTTTACGATGCTGGAATGAAGCAACCCAAAACCATGACAAAAAAATACAAAAATAAAAGCATTAGGTTTAGTCACAAATTTGTAGATATGGATAAACTACACATTTGAACATGATGAAAAATGTCTGATGATGTGAGTTAATTGTGTTTATTAAAGTTTATGAATTTATGTGTTGCTCTACCCTTGTTTAGCTTTTCCACATTGCGACTGGTTGCTATTGTGATAAATTCAAGTTTTCCGTGAACATCATGGTGAAGATTTTCATCCCCGCAAATGTCAGATGTTTACTCATGTGTTTTAGGTTAAATGCCTGAGCTTTTTGCCCTGTGTCAGTGTGATATAAACCCTGCAGATGCTGATGCTCCTATCACACTTCCTCCACATGTGCGTGTTCCAGCTCCAGCTCAAAAACTACAAAAAGACAGGAGGCGGGTAAGATCCAGAGTGACAGAAATAAAGAAAATTTGTGTCAGTGAAGGTGTCACGTCACCCTAACCCTTTACTTTCCATGTCACAGTTGGCACAGTTGTATGCCACAGCTGAAACACTTGTTAGCAGATTAACGTGACAGATTAGCACAGCTACCCTGCTCTTTAATCCAGTAATCCTGCATCAAAGGGTCATGAAGAACCTTTTTCTGTCATAGTGAAAGAGGAGAGATGAAATGAGGTGAAGTATGAAAGGGGGGAGGGATTGGGAAAGATATTTGTGCTTTCTGAATTGTGTCACAAAGATGTTCGTAAAAACAGGCCACACATAACCCACATGTGAACATTTTTAACACCGTGCCAACAAACCCACTTTTTAAAAACTCGGCAAGCAAAAAAAGCAGCATGAAATCTTTCCTTTAAATGTAGCTGTTTCTCATCCATCGCTGCTGAGCCTAGTTTCTGACACAAGCACACGGTTTAAGACACGTAGCTTCTTTGTACACTCGTCTGCTGCCTACCAGTGCTGTTTTGAACCCTGTTTCACTCTGACAGGAATTAGAGATACATATGCTAACAAGGCTAATTCCCCAAGGCAGCATCACATTTTATGACACCAGAGGCATAAGGTTGATCTGGCTGGATGGCATGTGCTTGAGCAAAGGCAAAAACATGCAGACACACACAGCTTTCACACATAGGCAGCAATCTGCATTTGATTTGCGAAGTATATCAAGAATTTTTGCCATTTAGACTTTATGAAACAGCTTTATTTTCCGGCCAATTCTTCAACTTGGAACTTGCTTGATTATAAACGACCTTAAAAAGAAGTTGATAGAAAAGGATATGATATTGATCCAGCATGTAGCAAAAAAATGCAGGAGGTTTCTTCCACTTTTAAAGATAGACTCTGGTCACTCAGGACACGGGTTTCTGGACGAATTGAATGTCCTTGAATGGCCTTCGATCCAAGTTTGCCCAGACTCATCAACAACACTCTTGGAGAAGTAAAAGACAAACCGCACCGAAACAGAAAATGCAAAACTGACATACAGAACCAAAGAGTGAAGATGCTTCTGAGCTTCATGTGATAAAGGAGACAAAAATTCACTTGCTTTTGTTGTTTTTATACACAGGCACAACAAAACACCAAACAAGTTGTCTAATGCAGTTAAAACATCAGGAGAAACATTACCTACAAGGTGAATTTGCAACAGGGCATTCACATGTGAAGCTAACTCTCTTAGCAGTCAAGATGGGGAGAGGCTAACCACTCTGTGAGAGACTGCGTGAGCAAATAGTTCAACGACTCAAGATTTAAGTCACTGATTGTAAAATTACAAAGAATGTTAGAATTTAATGTTTATAGTACAAATTCAGAGAATCTGTAGGAATCTCTGCATAAAGGATGAAAACAGAAACTGAGTGGTCATGAGACTTCAGCCCTCATCAGTGCTGCATTACAGTTAAAAAAGACGTGACTCTGTATTGGAAACCACAACATGGATTTCACAAATATGGGGTAGAAGAGGAAAGCATATATGAATCTGATTTTAAACAAATTCTGAGGACAACTCTGGGCCTGGGGTCATTTCAGATGGACTGAGGTAAAATGAAAAACTGTCCAATGGTCTGAGGAACAAAATTCAGACCTTCCTTTTGGAAATTATGGATGGTTGGTCTTCTGCTCAAGGGAGAAGAGGGAAAGCCAGGCCTGTTATTATTGTTCAGTTCCGAAAACCAGCATCCATGAAAATATGGAGGCTCAAAAGTGTTCACACATCAGGGAAGGCACCATTACTGCTGAATGATATATACAGATTCAAGAGCAACATATGCTGCCATCCAGTCAATGCCTTTTCTAAAGGAAGACCTTGCTTATTTTAACAAGACAGTGTTAAACTGCATTCAACATTACAACATCTTGACTCTACAGTGGATTACTCTGGGTGCTTAACTGGCGTGACTGTAGTCTCTGCTTGTCACCCAAAGTACAAAATATACGACAAAGGAGACCCTGAACCACTGAGCACCAGAAATCCTATAAGGATGAGCAGATATTTTCTTAAAACAACATTTTCAGTTATACCCTCGGATATGTTGTCTTGTACAATGCTTCGGTCATTTTTACTGCACCTCAGCTTTTTAGGAGGGAGGTTTGTATTTAAGTTAAGGACACGCATCATGCCAGTGTATCGTCCACTGATGTGGTCTTTCCTTAATGCATTCAACAAGAAATAAACAGTACGTCAGTCAGAGTCTAAAAATAATCTGCTGATCAGAAAACCTCTCTCTCGCTCTCTTCTTCTTTCTCTCTCTTTGAACAGACCACAGTGTAATTGCCCCTCTTCATTTTCCTCCCCTCCCTCTCCTCTTGTCCATCTTTGTCTGTCTGTCCGTCCATCCACCTTGAGGTACAAGGCTCTTTTGTTGATTTCTTTAGAGTTGCAATTTGGCCCCAGCAAGGGGCAGAGGCAAGTCAAATTCTGCTTTGATGACTCTAAATGGAGAGATTATCCAAATGAAAGGCAATTATCTAAACCCCACCCATCCATCCACCCTTCAATATCTCAGTCTTTTTTTTTTTTTCCCATCATGCTTCACCATCTAAGGCCAATTATCATCTTCACTGTTTGATTCCACATGTATTCTTCCTTCCTTTATTGTAATATTTCTATCTTTATTATTTCAATCTTTAATCATCTTTCTTTTATCCTCCATTTTATCTTTCTTTCCCTACCAGCCAATCCCCTTTAATCTGTCAAAACGTATCCCTTTCCTTTCTTCTATGCTTTATTTCTCTCCTCTTTCCTTGCAGCCTTTCTTCCTCTCCATCTCTCAGGGGAGCCATTAACAGAAGTGATCACAGAAGCCCTTTAAGAAAGAGAGAGCACAGATAAACAACCCATTTCTATTTTGGGGTTAGCAACAGCTGCTAATTGGTAATCCACAACCTGATTTTTTCTTTACAAAAAAAATGCTGTAGCTGACAGAAGCGAAATCCAACCCTTAATTTTTTCTAATTTTAAAAGAACTTCTGTAAAGGAGGAGACATGACAAGCAATGTTGCTGGTTAAGTCTTTTAAGCCAAATGTCTTTATTATATAGAGCTCAAATTCATTCTGTGACCTTTGCTGCATGACTTGTCGCAATGCCTTCCCCTTGTCTTTGCTGTCACTCACCGCTGTGTTCACTCTAATGAAGCAGAAAAGTCAGAAGCTTTACAATAAACCAGACAGAAACTGCTGGAGTTATCCTCAGTCTGCTTCCCAGCAGCTGATAGACAGTGAATAATGGGGGCTGGCATAGCGACACACACACATGGACACACACACACAAACTAGCCTTCTTGTCACAACAGAGTCGGCACAGAGCAGAGATGAAGAATCTCAAATTACAGGGTCACTCTGTCTCATTTGTCTCCTCTCTTCTCTCAGTCTCTCTATCATTTGCTTGTTTGTCTCAGTGCCCATCTCAGTGTATCTGTAATGAGATGACACCTTTATAATAATCCTTTGTTCCCACACACCAGAGATCTACAGTGTGGGTTTCATGCTGTGCTCTTTCCACTATTGCTGCCAGTCAGACTTCAACTCTTGGCTGTGTTCCCTTTGGCACCAGAGTGGGATGTGTTTACCTCAGGACCAGGCTGGGCCGAAGTTCCCAAAAGGGAAAATAACACCAAGAAACACCTCTGCTCTGTAACTACATCTCTATAAAAGGTGATAAAACTCTGTATTCCCTTTGAGAAGCTACAGAGAACAACATGATGTCAAAACCAAATTTAGCTGCTAATGGTTAAAGGATTAACTTTTTTTTTTTTTAAAGCCAATGTGCAGCTGAGATTTTTTCCATGTCTGTGCTGCTTTAAGGACTTCTTTTAGTCCCAAACTGTAATAGGAACGGCTCATTGTTGTATTCTAACTTTTATTCTATTCAATGAGCAGTAAGAAGCAACTGCACTGTTGGGTCTCAAATGTTCACTTAAGATTTTTTTAAGGGCTTGACTTCACATGACTGCAAGTTGCTTTCATAGCAGCCAGTAAACAATGAAAAAAAAAAAATCATTGCTGTATCCACCCTGTTATCCAATTTACACTCCTGGTTCCCCAAAAAAGTAAAAATCGAAAAATAAAAATAAATCAGAATCAAAAATAACATTTCAAATGTAGACTGTCATAAGCTAATCTAGAGTCTGCAAATGAAGTCTGTGTAGAGGTGCCTCAAACTAAGACTGTATTCTTCCAAATTAGCCCAGAAATCAGCATAGCAAATAGCCAATATGTGCTAACCATAGACTGAAAGGTGGAGGTAGTCTCAGTGACATTATAATTTAGATGCTGACTTCAGTCTGCTTTTAGACCAAGGCACTTTTTTATACAGTGCTGTAAACATATTACATGTACTGTAAAGATGCGATTTTTTAAAGGGAACGTCACTTGTCTCGGGCTTTTGTAGACAGCCTCAAGTGGACTCATAAAGAACTGCAGTTTGAACCACTTCTGCACCAGCTTTATTTCTCAAAACCAGAGGCTGCCCATCTGTTGCCCACCTTTCAGTCAAATAAGGCAAAAATAATGCACATTTTTTGGCCTTGACAGACCAGCTGAGTTAAAAATATGTGTCATGCACAGGGCTGTGACCATGTGCTATGTTGCTATGGAAGCAGGCTGTTTATTGTTGGCTCTGACAGCATTTCATTGGCTTTTAGAGCAAGCCCCAAGAAGACACTCTGGGAACTGCTGTCATTTTTTGCATTCTCGCATTGACTTTGTTCTCAACACTAGAGATTTCCTATTGATTCCAGGTCTTTGTCAACACAGCATGGCATTCATTCTCTAATGAATGGTTCTTGTGATTGACAGGGCTCTACCACAGGGTCCTTACAGACATAAACACTTTACGATGCATATCCACCCCTGTAGATGAAATATTGCCACTTCTGTTTCCAAAGACAGTAAATGGTCACCATCAAATATCAGACCCAAGAGTCAGAAATGGGGTGGACATTTAGAAATTTGATACTTCAGAAGCAATGTCCATTTCTTACCATTCATGATTCTAGTTTAAGGTTTGTTTCTTTTCAAAGAGGGAAAGATGAAGATAAGCAGTATCCAAACTTCAAGCAAACATCAACCTTCTGTTCAGCACCATGGACAGAGACAGACAAACAGCCATACAAAGACAGCATGAAATAAAGCAAACCCAGCATCTCACTCAAACAAATAAGCAAAATACCTTTATGTAAACATGACAGCACTGGAAAAAGACTTTATAGGTCATACAATGAAGGGTGCATGAGAATTCGATATGCTCTGTAAGCCATTCAAACCGTCCTGTCTGATGCCTGATCTTGTTTTCCAAGCTGTCTGTCTGTTAATTTAATCTTTGGTCAATGTCACCCAAGGGGACCAATAATGCAACATGTTTTTTTCTCCTTGTAATGCGACATGCCACACAATCTGATGCACGGAGAAGGATTCTGAGGGCAAAATTACAGGTTTCGAATGCAGGCATGTACACACAGACAAAGACATCGCAAATGCATATTTCTTATCCCTCTCTTTTGATGCAAAATGCCAGCTCCCCTGAACCAAAGACGCAATTCTCCACGCTCCTCTGGGCTTCTGCTGTCAACTCTGCAGCCAGACAACGAAACAGGCAAGATCTTTCATGAGCCACAGGGTGACGTAAGGTGGTAAGCACTGCAGTAGTCCTTACAAAAAGGTCAGAAGTAGTCTGAGGAAAAATGCCTATTGCCAGAGAACTTTGAAATGAAACCGAGAAAAAATGCTCACTTTTACTTTTTACGCTGTTAAAAAAAACAGTGTGTGGTGTTCACGAAAGCTGGATTCTGTTTTGCTTCAAAGCTTTGCAAAATCAGCTTAATCTTTTTTGTTAAAAAGCAATTAAATATTTCAGTGTTTGGAGAATTGTAAACTGCCATTGTGCCCATAAGTAGCACAAATACAGAGTTTCTTTAGGAACTAGTAATGAACTGATCATGGAGCCAGTGGATGATGTAATGTGTTTCTTGTTATAGTAGTAAATGTCATCATACAAGACCTACTTTCAACACTTCTCCCTGCTGTTTGCTGTGGAGCAACAGTGCCTCTATGTGGACATTTATGACCGCAGCAGGTTACATAAGATTTTGAGACCTATGCATTACATCATACATATACAGTATATCTTTACGTATTATAATCTGTAATGTAGCCGAGCTCTGTTTGTCTAACATATTATTGTCCTTATTGAGAAGACGAGACGTTTCGAACAACTAGTCATCCAAAGTCTATGTGACAGATTATTATCATGTTGTGCCATGAGGAAAACAGGAAAGGTCACAGCCAGAGACTCTTTCTGAATATTGCACAAGCTTTTGCAACAACGTGTGAGATAACCGTTTTACTTTTTAAGTAGGCCTATGTCAGTTTTAATCCTTGCAGGACTCTTGTTTTCACTTTTCATCAGCAGAAGAAAAGCTTTTGGATAACTGATTAATATAGAGTTCAGGGGGAAGTATATCTGCAATGTTTAATCAATAATGACTTTATCTTCATGAGTAAATATGATTTGTACATTCAAAGAGAACTATTTTTTAATTTTGGTTCAACAATGGACAGAAGTAGACAGGCAAGATGGCGTCTGTACAGTTCAGTTTAACAGCTGGTGTGTAATACTTAGTTTTCTTATTTAACTCATCAACACAAAAAAACAGTGTAAGGGTTTTTTTATTTGAGTTTTTTTTTCTTTAGTTTACTCTTTTTTTTTACAGTTTTTTTTTGCAAAAAAACTTTTTTAGGGTTTTTTTTCCTCAGTTTTTTTTCCTTTTTTTATGCCTGACTGATAATAATAAAAAAAAAAAAACAGGCAGAAAACTGAAAGAAAAAAACACACAAAAAAAATAAAGTAAAAAAAAATTCTGAAAAAAAAAAAAAAAAAAACTACTGGAAAGAAAATTAAAAAACAAAGAACAAAACCACCCATAATCCGGTGTTTTGCACACAAAAAAAATAAACCTTGTGGTTTTCCCCCCCATGGAAGGATTTTTATTCCCTTCCTCGAGCTACCACCTTACCCTGGTGGAGGGGTTTGTGTTTCCCGATGAGAGTTAATTCTGATATACTCTTGCTGTTGTCAAAAAGTGCTAAAATTTCTCTGAATTTCGCATGTTAAGATGAGCTTTTTTCAAGGTGAAAAGACTTCAAGTCTGAGCATGAAAAGCTATGATCAAAACTGCTTTTGTTGATTTTAATTGTACAATTATTAGTTCACTGTAAATGACTTGGTTGTTTTTCTCTGTACCACAAAATAAAAATATCTATATATCAGCACCAGAAAAACCAAAACAAGAATTAAAAAAAAAAAAAAAACAACAACCTCAGAACCAAACCATCCTTTCAGACTTGGAAACACCTCAAACTTATTGCACAGTGTTGTATTTGTCTCTGTATTACCATTGTCAGTGATGCTGAGAGTCATGCTTTGTCCACTCCTCTTCTTCCTGAGAGAGATGAGTCTGGCTTGAGAGATCTCTCTGACAATGGAGGACAGATGCTCTTTGTTGTTACTAGTGTTGGCTGGAGGAAAGGCCTTCGAGTCTCCTTCCCCACTATCACTACATCGCACTGTAGACTTCGCCTGGAGAAACACAACTCCAGTTCAGTTGATAAAAAAGCTATTAAATTATGCATGACGTAAATATATACATATTAAATGCACAAAAAATGAACTCCAATTCTCTGCTCCTGTTGAATGAAGCTTATCCTGGCACTTCAAAGTCTGTTTTCATATATCTTTTGGCATGACTGTTAGTGAGCACCAAAAGTTTTGATGATTACAACAAAACTGTAACTGTTGTGTTTCTATAAGCAAGTATCAAAGAGAGCACACAGACTGCCATAATTACCATGTGGCCACACATTACTATCATGTACTCATGTGTTAATGTTATTATTTTTTCATTAAACATCCGTAAAAAGGCTCTTACATTTCCGTTTTGCTTGGAGAATCTGTGGATGGGCGGTAGAGAGAAAGCTTTCATTCTGTAAACAAGACAGACAAAATTACTCACAGCAACCTAATTACAGAACTTAATCTAATTACGTAATGCAAAGACTAAAACTCAGGCACGTGGAAATAGTTATTTCAGGTAGTAAAGACAAAAGAGATTTTTCGGTTTGATAAATTACAGCAATGTTCCAGTAATCAAATACTTCACACCATATGAAAACAAGACTTTTGAAAAGTGCTCTCCCAGGATTTTAAGTCTAAAAAACTATTTAACTAAGATGGTAAAAGAGCGAATAAAAAAGGCTTTATCGGTTCCTATAAAATTTTTAAAAGAGAGAAAGGCAAGTGTAAAGCTGCCTTAAGCAAATTATTAATCTTAATATCGATCTTTGGAGCTGATGGACAAAAGCTCAAGAGATTTGAAATAAGATTTGTACCCTGGAGGAGTTCTTACTTTCCTCTCTGGGACATTTCAAAACAAACTAAATGATTTCCAAGAACAATCTTTGGTAGCCAGAGAGTTTGATTTTGAAGTTAGCACAACTCGTCATGAATGAGTATTTGTACTGATTTATTTTAATGACATTTGAAATAACTCAATGTATTTTTCTGTCAAATCAAAAATATATAAACCTCTTGTAAAGCCATTTTTCTGGTTATGAAACGGAATGAAATGAACACCAATGCCTCTTTGTGTTGAATGAAGAAAGCAAAACCATCACTGAAAAGATGTTTCCTTTCACACAGTAATTTCCTCCTGTGCAAACACCTGTAACTGCTGCCACTGGGCTGTAGTTAGACCTAACCAGGCAATCAAACGCAAGCAGCCTTTGTTCACATCTTACAATTTACAGCTAGTGCAAATATAGATGTGGACAAAAAGCAGGAAAAGCAGGCTGAGACACTTTGTAAGAGAACATCCCTTATATATGTACAGGACCGAATAAGCTGATAGGTGACAACTTTGTCCACAGAGGGCACCAAAATTACAATGTCTTACAGTAGCACTAAGATAAAAAAATAGCAAAATACTCGCTTTTCAAATTGATTAACCTGTTGCCATTTTCATGTGGTTGTGCCCATATTAAGGTTGTGATAAGTTCACAGCTGTAAGCAAGATAAGAAATATCAATCCTGTAGCAACAACAGCAAACCCTATTTAAACCAACAATCTCCTGATCAATATTTTCTGTCTGAACTTGTTCAAAATGTATTTTCAAAGTGATTGAAGTTTTTTAAATTTATACACTTTTTAGGGAAAAATTAAATGTTTGAATTGTCTTTTCAAGTCACAAGTTTTTAGTATTATTTACTCTGTCGATTGACAGTATTTTGGTACCAAACATATAAATACATAACTGTAGTTTTTTTTTTTTTTAACTTTTCCATGAATAAAAGAAACATAACACACGAATGACACCAAGATACAATTAGTGGCACATCTCAGTGTACAGTGCTTACCCGTTGATCCTCCTAGTCCCTCTGGGTTTAGTGAAAAGCAGATCACTGTATGGCAGCTTCTTAAACTTTTCTCTCCCCACGGCCACATAAAGCTGTCCACTCTCCATCTGATGGCCGTCAGTCACCTGCTGGCCTTCATAGGTGTACAGACTACAAAACAGACCAAACAGCTCCATCATGCGCTCGTCCCAGTTCCGGTCAAAAAAGACATACTGGACTCATAAAATATCCTCACATAGTCATCATTAAGATAAAGCATTAACAGACACACACGGCGTTAATGTGGACATTAAAGTCTGTATTCTTTATTATATGTATGCAAATTTATGCAGCAAGGTGCATGACAGTGTAATGAGCTCATCTGCTGTGATGGAGGAACATATGGTGGAGGACACAAACTTCATGCTCTGCTCATAAAGTTATTTTGATGACAAGCATGGACAGAAATATAAATGTGTATAAGGTTCACCTATTTTCTTTATAGCATTACCTTCGGACACCTCCCAGGACTCTTAAACCCATCTTCTCTGTTATCATCTCAAGGATTTTGTCAAACTGGCTGAGCATCCTCTGGTGGATTAACAGTCTCATAGCAGGGTTCAGGACATCGCCGTTTGCTACCACACTGAGTACAGAAAATACACACACAAAGAAACACTTCTAAGCATTTCTGTACAATACATTCCTCGTACTCAAAGCCCTTCAAGTTCAACAAGCGGAGATTTGCCTCCAGGAGCTTAAGACATCATCTGCCCTTTTTCCACACAGATTGAGATTCACATGCTATAAATCAAACTCTAATAAAGGGATGACTAATGTGTAATTAAATGTGTCAACTGTGCATGCACAATCATTCAGTTGGAATTCAGCTTAAAGGAAAAACAAATACTTACAATACTGTACAAGGCTCTTTAATGGGTTTCAGGAATCGAGCCGACACAATGATTCGATTTGGTGGCAGTGGTTTGACCTTGGAGAAAAGGTTTAAGAAAAAAAAAAAGGCAAATTAGGGCACATTAAATTGAATAATGAGTGATTGTTTATTAGGCATTGTAACATCTAACCTCACCACTAGATGCCAGTAGTCCTTATCCTTTCTGTTAGGTACAGTTATAGTTTCCCAGTTTAAAGCTAAAAACAACACATCTACTTTCAGGAACGATGCAAAAACTGGTGACTAATACTTTAAGACAACTGCCTCTCTATATATGCCTGCCCCATGGGAGGAAAGAGAGGGCAAAAAGATTGATACTGTGAATCCTCTAGAGCCAAAACTGTAAGCTGAATCAGAGCCAACATGAGCGACAACATCCTGATGTGGCAGGTTTTGTTTACTGTGGATGATAACCCTAACCCTAACTATATATAGACATTTAGAGAACTGCTTCTTTCCTTTGCCATAATAAGTTTCATTCAAGCATGAAAAAACAAAACTGCATGGCATCTGAAAGTTAAACCCTGAAATGTGCAGAAAAATAGCTTTTCTTCACACTGGAATAATCTGTCCCACATCTCTGTGACAGCAAAAGAATGAGTCTTTGGTAATCCTCAGAGAGGTTGGGAGGTTGCATGGAGTGAGCTCGGCAGGCCCTGTCTTATAACACCTGGTAGCCCACAGTGACTCTCAGACAAAGATTTGAATCCTCAGAGAGAGGGACAGGGAGATACAGAGGAGGTATATTAGAAGTCCTCTAGGGTCGATGGGTGCTGCCTGGCAACAGATATGAGAAGGCTGGAAGAAGGATTTAGGAAGTTATAACATAAAGCAGGATGCTGGACTTATTTAAAGGCTTAACCAGGGACAGGGTCAAAGCAAATACACTAATCAATTAAAGCTCCTGTGAGGACTTCTTTTGATAACTAGGAAATAGACAACAATTCATCTTGATGTCTTTTTATGAAATCTGGAAGCAAACAAAACAATTGGGGAAAAAAAAACTTTTTAAAAATTTATTGTAATTTCTAATGTAAAAAACTAATGTGAGAAGTGAGGTGTCGGCCTGGCAACAGCAGAAACTGCTTTTTTCACAATTTTCACACAGATCCTCTGCTATAACATCACTACTAAAACTATAAATAAGCAGCCATTTTACTTATGCTCTATTTTCCGTTTGCAGGTCAAAATAGGCTTGACAGTAAGTTTCTGTGTGTCTGAAAACTCTTAGTGGAGCTTTAATATGAAAAATCAAAGCACATTTGCCGAAGCAGGTGCCTTGAATACGAAACAAGCGCTTGAGAAATTCCTCTTGTAATAAAGTTTAAACATTTTACTAAAATTGTCATATCTGGCTTAGATTTTATATGAAGTTTTAAGTAAGTTAATGATTAATTTTGCTGTTATATTTCAAGAGTAAGGGATGACTGCTTCAAACCAAGACAAGCTTTTCTCACAACAGACCTCTCCACTAACACTCATGGAGACCAGAAGGTGAGCTTGAGGTAAACACAGAGCCACCAAAAAGTAATGAAAGAAATAAAAGTAGAAATGTAAAAAACGCCTGTTTCTACCAGCTGTCAGCTACAGAAATGTCCATCTGTAACCTTCCCGTAAGCCCATCCTCTAAACGCTCTAAAATCAACAGAGACAAGAAATGAACTCGCCAACCATTCAGCCAGCTAAGAGTTCTCATCATTAAACAACACAATCAGACAGGTTAAGTGGAGTATTGAGGGGGAGGCAAGGTCCTTCTGAGGTGAATTGTCCCCTTTTATGCTTGTCACACAATCACAGGAACAAAAACAAGCCTTTAAGGTTATCAGTGAAGAAAAATCTTCTTGCTAGCAGGTGATAAGACTAAATCAGGAGCCTAGAGGGTAGTTCCTGATCCTCTTTTTATGATTAAAGGGCAGAAGCGGGGCATACACAGACAAAGCTATTTATTACTGGAGACCAAATCAAAGGCATAGAAAGAAGAGGCTCCATGTTACCTTGTCAAAGACCTTGTGTGACCCAACGACAAAAATTTGCACATCAAATTTGGCGCCTGTCTTTTGTCCTGCTGTCCTTGAACTGTTCCTTTCCTTGCTTGAATTTTGTTACATAACATGTAAGCAACTCTTATTGTGAAAGAAGACCTGCAGGCGACTTTCAAGATACATGAGCCTGTGGACTCCTCGACTTAGAGCTGCTCCTGTTTTGACCCTGACTTCACAGCTGATGATTAAATATGCATTCAAAAGCTAGGATGATTATGATCCAAAAATCAATAATGCATGGCCATTGAGACGACAACAAAGTGATTCTTTACAGCGAACAAAGGAGAGCGATGCTTAACATAACACCTTGCTTAAATGAGCTTTTTTAAAATCTTGACACTGTGGGAGGGGCAGGGGTGCAAAGATAGTGTTTACGAAATCTTTGTATGAGGTGGATAGTCTCAGCTTGGATTACTCGGAGGCTGAATTGAGTTAAGATACTCTGGCTAAACTGTGCCTTGAAAAATATGAGGAAAAGTTTTGTATAAATCTCCACTTAAATAATAAATTAGTGAGTAAAATAAAAAGTAAGGTGCAAAGTAGTCAGGCCTTTTTGGTCTTCAAACCACAACCAAGCTCAATAATGAAGAATTTCAGACAAACAAATTAAGATTTTTGGCATATTCACATCTTTGCAGAGGTTTAAATTCTGCTAGAAGTCCTCAACAAGTAACCATCTAGTTAGGCTACATGCATCTCCTTCTGCAAAACTAAAAGACCAGAGGGTGAAGTGGAACCTGAGGACATTTTGGCAAGATCATACAAGGTTCCAATTCACTCCAAGAAAGTCTGGCTAATATACAAGACTTTGTAAATTATGTAAACAGGTTCCATCTCTGCAGATTGTGTTTGTAAGATGCCAAAAATGATTCAGATTATAGCAATGAAAGCTGGTTCATTCCTCTGTTTTTTTCTTTCTACGTCACTACACAATTACTATTCAACAGCTAACCAGGTATCACAGCTCTAAAAGTGATTAAAGTGATTGACATTTAACCCCGCAAATCCTGAGGTAATAACACACTGACACTCACCTGCTGTGCACTGCCACTGCTAAGCTCTACTGCACCACTTTTGCACTTTTAGTGCATGCTATGTGAGCTTAATTTTTTTAAAGAATTCCTACACAAATAGTCTTCTGAACATCAAGTTGTCTCTCACTTCATAAACACGTCCTACTTACCTGCATTGGAAGAGTCTGCATCATTCTCTTCTTTCTTGAGCCAATATGTAGGTAACTATAAAAAGAACATAAAATGAGAAAGGGATCATGACTGTCTTCTCATTCAATCAAAATTTTATTGGTTATTGGTTTGAATGTGCAGGAAATTTGATTTATGGTTAATATAATCATTTTCTTGGATGATCCGGTTGGATAGTTAAATAAAAATATAGCTCTCATTTATCCAAACACTAAATGGTTAAAGCAGAATAACAGTTGCATTACAACAGACTATCCATAAAGTTCCTCGGGGTAGTTAAGGAACAGGGTGGTATATGGTGAAAGAGATGGGTAATGACTATGAGAATCTGTCATATTTTAAAATATTTTGCAGTTGTGAACACATTTCATTTTAAAATACCAGAAGCATGGGTGTACTTTCAGTTTCCAAAGTCAAAGTCTTTAATACCTCCCCACTGCTTCCAGTCCTTGCAACTGCTCCACCACTGCAATCTATGAATAACCAGTTGCACAAAGCTCATTATCTGCAGCATAAGTCCACTTATTTTTAGGCCACGGTAGAGTACACTTCTCCAAAGAGCTGATCTCATCTGCCTCATGCTGTGCCTCTGCACGGTTTTCAGTTTGCTTTAAACTGTTACATCTGAAAAAAAAAAAACTTTAAACACTAGGACCTAAAAAGGGGGCTTGATACCCAGGACTTTGACTGACTGACAGCATGAACTCTGACGGCCAATCACAGTGTGTAAAACATAAAAAAATGTGATTTAAATTACTTCCTATGGTCAGTGACTCCACCTGACTTGCAAGCTTTTCTACGGGATGAACCTGGTCACCCACAGTTTGACAAGTATACAGGTCATGCGCCACTATTTACGATTACCAGTAACTTTATTCTGTATTTGAATATTCGTCACAGTCGCTATTGTAAGGTTAAAAAGTTAAAGTTGTTCTTACTCCAGTCTCTTGAATCTCTCCCTCCCGGCAGCCACATACTGCTCCCCGCTCTGCAGGGTCTCCAAGCTGTCCACCTTGTGCCCTCCTCTCGGAGTGTAGATGTTCCTCACCGCTCCAAACGGGGCTTGTATCCCTCCGGTTACCTCTCGCAGCAAAGTCTCAAAGTTGGACACCCTCTTTTGATTGATCACAATCCTGCGTGCCTCGAAGTAAGGGTCACCATTTCGATACATGAAAACGTTTTTCACCACCGGCTGTGACAGAAAGTTTGGCTTCTCCGAGCTCATAGCTGCGCGCAATGACCACGCTGACGCGCAACGGAGCGAGATCAAAATAGTCTTGAATCAGGTGTATCCAAGTGGAGAGACAAAAGCCTATGTGCCATTATAATGACATTAAGAGCTGGTCCATCCAAGAACAATATTTAGGGAGGAGAGAAGCTGGACGTGGCACGTAGGTCTTTGAGGAGGTCAGCACGAAAGGGGAGGTGACTAAGTCAAAATGAAACCACATGCATGCAACAACCGACTAATCTTAGCGTTGAAAGTAAAAACTATCCACATCAACTCGAGATGAAACGGTGCAGACCTGTCCGCTTCGTGTCCACAGTTACACAGCGGCAGGTGATGTTAATAGCCAAACGTGTCTCTGTGGTTCCCTCACGCTGTCAGCTAGGTATCATGGGAGCTCATCTGTTGGGATGTATCTATGGGAACACAGCGCTGTTCTCTCACAGATTACCAGAGACCTTACACCGTCAAAATCTACAGGTAGTCAGTCATTAACTAGTGGGTGAAAAAAATACTTATTTGATCGTATGCCATGGTGTCAGGAACATAAAAACGTGCTCCACGAGCTGTGGGAGGTTGATATGAGTGGATCTGTAAAACCTAGAGGATCCAAAACCTCTCCAACAGCCACGTGAGAAAGTTAATTGGGCATCAAGAGACCAATTTAAAACTCATGTTGCTGTTCAACGTCTCGAAAGTGGTACCAAAAACATGTTTGTTTTGTGTACTATTAGAGTGTTGCGCGACAACAGAGGGATCTGTACAGTACGTCCTTTTGCCAATTATTGACAAGTGACACGTGTTCTGTTGCAGAGATTGAAGAGCTTGTCACATAAATATGTTAATTAATTAGTAGATGGGAGTCACTATATAAAGCCACTAAAAGTAAATTTTTCTCAGTCTAAATGTGTCAATTTTATTTTTACAATGATTTTATGCCACCATTCACAGTTTATGTTTTTATGGTATCAGTGGACTTACCATAGACTGTATGAAGAATAGTATATACAGTCTATGGGACTTACAATGACTAAAATAATCCACTACTTTCATCATTTTCATCTCATTCTTCCCTTTTTTTTCATTATCATCAACAGCAATTACAGACAGAAGTACAGCACTATTGTGGCGTGTTGGATGATAGCAGAACATTTCATATTTTGCGAACTGAAGCTTCAACTGGGTCTTCCTGAGATATAATACTCTCTTTGACCCACTGGAGGGTGCTAGAGTGTACAATTTTCAAGACAGAGAGAAATGACAGGATCCAAAGAACAGTCATTTGTGAAGGAGAAAATGTCTTAATTTCTAATATCCAAAGATCATTCTTCATGCAGTGCAAAAAAACTGGAAAGCATAGAAAGTAGTCTGTGCTGTGGAGGTTACTGCCAATACACTTGCAAAAGAAGTTTTAGATAAATTCATCAGTCCTAAAAATAACTGAAATGACCTTTTCCCTCTCATTTAAAAAAAAAATGCTCAACAAGAGTGACAAATACACCATGACAAGGCAGTGCTGGGACATGATGATCAATGTCCAAAGCTACAATAGCAGCAATAAAACTCGCAAAAATTTAAGATAAAAACAAGCAACAGGTGAACAATAAACCAAGAAAATAAGAATTCATCCACCTAAAACTAGGGTGACTGGCAGGAGATAAAGTAAAGAGTATGTCAAGATTACAAGGTGAGCATGTGGTGTTAAATGAGAAAAATTGTAGAAGTACTATTTCTTTAAAACCAAGATGGCATTTCGCATCTATGTGATAAATAAGCACATGAAGGGTTTTCTGTAGGATCTCTGAGTTACCTTTCTGTATTCTCTCAGAACTTGCAGATGTTCTGAAAGATAAAATAATAAGGATAAATAAACTCGGTAAAAAATTCTGAAGTTGAGGAGATTTGAACAAGTTTGTAGAAATATCAGAAAGGTGATGAACTGAATAAACTTCTATTGTTACCCATCCATGGTTTCTTCAGCAAACACAAGACAAGGATTTGTATTATTCATGGATTTGGTCATCTCAGGTACTGAAATTTGTGATGATTTCGTTTGGTTTGCAACATTGGATGTGTATGTGTAGTGCTGCTAGTTTGTCAGTAGAGGGTACTGTACAACCAAAAGTAAGGCTACACCAGAGGATTGGTTTTCATTTAAGAGATGTGCTTTGAGCAGCACTCAAGTCCCAAATGCAAACCAGCTGCTATGTGGTTTCTGTAGAAGTACAGTACAAGTATTTTATGCAGCACATGCAAGTCAAAAACAATTAAAAAGTGATTTACAGTGATTGAAAACAAAACAGCTACGAAAACAAATAAATAATGGCAAAGATGGGACAATTAGAGACTAAAGCACATTGATAGAAGTAAAATATGTGGAATTAAGAGAGTAAAAAAGAAAAGAATAAGTTAAGTTGTCGCAGGATTTGACAACTTCTTTGTTTTAAAGTGGTGCCAGTCAGAGTCAGGTCTGACAAAAAACAAATAAACAAACAAAAAATAAAATAAAATAATACTATCAATAATCCAAGAATACTGCTGTCAAACAATGCACACAAAAAAATCACAAGTCATCGGCAATAATTTCACCCAAAGGAAACAAGCCAGCACAGCAAAGTCAAGCACCACAAAATTATATTTTTGCAACCAACAATAAAACCAAAAAAGTCTGTTCAATCAATAAGTCCCACATCCACAGTTCAACAAAAAGCAACAGGAGTCCAATGCTCAGGATTTTAACCCAAAACCCAGGAGTCACAGAATTATTACACAGAACATAATTTTTTCTCCCCCCTGCTTGTGATGTTGACATGTAGTTACTGTCAGACTGGTTTGTGCTCGAGTCCTCTTTTTTCTGAGAAGCTCAGTTTTTAAAAGTTATAATGGGGGTTCATGTTTTCTATGATTGACACCTGATACAGCCTATTGGTGTTCAGGAATTGCGTAGCTGTTTGCGCCGAGCATCATCACAGCGACTCTCCCACCGAGTGCGCACAACGCTACTGCGCAGCGCTGGTTTCAGGAAATGGAGAAAAATCACTGAAATAACGAGAGCTTTTTGGCTTCAATTCTGTATACAGACGGGAGGCGGAACCAAGTTGTCCATAGTATATACATATAGAGACTATGGGTGCAACTTTTTTGTAGCGGGATTGGACAACTCCTTTGTTTTAAAGTGTGGGGGTCCAGGCAGAGTCAGGTCTGACGAAAAAACAACAATAACAATGCTACTCATATTAATACACCAAGAATACTAGTGTCAAACCATCCACACAAAAAATCACAAGTCATCAGCAATTATTTCACCCAAGGAAGGCCAGCACAGCAAAGTCAAGCACCACAAAATTATATTTTTGCAACCAACAATGTGAAGTGTGTGTGCGTGCGTGCAAGCGTGTAACGCAGTTCAGTTCATGAAAGTCTGTCCACAACCGGAGAGAAAAAAAAGTCTGTTCATTCAATCAGTCCCACATCCACAGTTCAACAAAAACCAATAGGAGTTCTTTGCTCTCGATTAACCCAAAACCCAGAAAAGAAAATGGGAGCACGGCAGCTCTGTCACTCTTGTGAAGAAACAAAAATATTAAAACAAACAAAAAACAAACTCTGACAGTCGTCAGTACTCACAACTCGTCGTCAGTCAGTCAGTGAGTTCGTGAGGCAGCTCCAAACTCCAGGACATGACATAGACAATCCCAAAATCCTTTCGGATGTCGGCCATATAAACTCCACCGATCCGCGGATCACTCCGGTGTATAATCTGGACTCCGGCGAGCGCCACTACAACAGACCTAAACCGGCTTTAGAGGCTGTAATAAGTTCGCGTGTCAGATTCTTATTCTCCCTGCTCTCCTCTCTCCTTCTCATCCACCACCTGCTCTCCTTTTCTCACAGCTAAAAACATTTCCGGGATCCAGAATTCAAAGTGACCGGGGTCTTGCGGCGTGCTGTGATTGGTGGATTTGGAGTTTACGGGTGTGGAAACGGAGCAGGTGTGACAGAATAAATGAAGGGAATTGTACAGTGATGAATGGGTCTAAATTTAGCGCGGGGCGCAAACAAAACATGAAAAAACCATCCAATATAAACGGTTTAAAATTATAAAAAGACAAGTAGTCAAATATATAAATAAAAACAGTGAGTTTGCAATAAAATTAGTGATTACATAATAAAACTACAATAGCTGAAAAAGAACTAATAAAAAAAGGAAACCTATATAAAACACCAAATAACAAATAAACTTCTGTCTTTTATGGCATGTTCCAAACGGGCAGTCTGCTCCAGTAGGATTACAGACTTTCTTTTAAAACAGTTGGGAAAAGTTAAATGAATTCTATGAGGACTTTGGCATTACCATCTGGTATCTTGTCTCCTAGTTACCATATTCATGATTCACCTGTTGATAATGCTAGGAGTATATTTTACATAGACTGTATATAGAATGGACAGAGTCTGCCTCCATGCTGGGTGAAGCCACTCCGAGAACAGCACCCTCTGTTGATGGGCTGCAGTATAGTTTATAAATCCCTCCTCCGCCAGCAAAGCTTATGGAGCTGTGGACAAACTTTAGAAATTTATTACACAGAACATAAATTTTTCTCCCCCCTGCTTGTGATATTGACATGTAGTTACAGTAAGACTGCTTTGTGCTCAAGTCCTCTTTTTTCTGTGCAGCTCCGTTTTTAGAAGTTATTTGGGGGTTCATGTTTTCTATGATTGACACCTGATACAGCCTATCAGATTGCGTAGCTCTATCGGGGGATACGCTGTTTGAGCCGAACATCATCACAGAGACTCTCGGCGACTGCGCGGCCGAATGTGCGCATCGCTACTGCGCAGTGCTGGTTTCAAGAAATGAAGAAAAATCCTGGAAATACGGAGTGCTTTTTGGCTTCAAATCCATATACAGGCGGTAGGCGGAACCAGGTTGTCCATAGTATATACAGTCTATGATATTTTACAACAACAGGTTAGGGGCACAAACTCAATGGAGTGATTCAATAAAGAAACCAAATAATATGAAGATCCTTAGACAATATTTATGATAGACTGCTCCAGGCTGTTAAAGTGAACTGAACAAACTACTCAGGTTCAGAACAGACATTTCAGTTGTGGATGGGCCGCTGTCATTTTAGTGACAATTTTGTGACAGAAGTTCAATTTGTTTGCCTCTTTTTATGGGACATTATATTCTATACATGCTTAAGGGTTTTGTGTTTCCTTTTTTCTGAGGAAGACATATTTTTACAGTCATGAAATCAGTCAGTGATCCTCTCACCACAAGACGTAGATAAGATGGACATCCTTGAGAAGTTTTCTGGCTTTTACCTTGGTGTAAAATGAGCCCTGTCCTACACTTGTAGTATCATAACTTGGGTGAATGTATCCGCTGCTGAGTGAAGGGATGTACATGCAATACAGCTCAGGTCAAGTTATCATCATATCATATTTGATTATTGTAAAGTAGCATGTTTGATTGTTCAAGTAAGTATAGTTCAACTTCTTCTAAATTCACTGGTTCAATTGCTGATGGTGTGAACCCTCTTTTTAAGAAAAAGAAAGAGCCCTGCATCTCATGATAAGAAAGATCTATTTCCTTTCACCTCTCCTTGTGTATATGCTTTCAGTCCAAACGTCCTTGGCAAGGCATGAAATTGTACATAATTGCTGTTGCTGATTGGATGTCTAAATGGCCCCTTTTAAACCTTATTCTCCCATGCCCAAAATTACTTTGCAATTGTCTCAGCTTGACAAGATCAGGAAACCTCTTGGCAAACATCTGTCACAGTCCTTTACCTGTGTCAACTAAGTGTGAGAAAAGGAAGCTTCAACAAACACACAACATTAGAGATTTACTGTCATGATTTGGAGCAGAAAAATACTGGCAATAGCTGTGGGTATGATGATTTAACCTGTTTACTAACACACACAACTCACTGCATTTGAAATATAGCCTATTATATAAGGTATCTACTGCTACAATAGTATGTGTTTTCTTTGAAAGAAGGTCAATGCTAAAACATTCTCATTTTACAAAGCTAGTTTATATGAAACATCACAGTTATTTTTATGGTGCTGTAAGCAGATGCAGAAAACTTAGTCACATCGGAGCAAATGGTACAGGGATTTTACGCTCAGTCAGCGATGAAATCGGTGACATATGTCAAACACAAAGCATTTATTTCTGGCCTTTCTTTTAACAATATTGCAATAAATTACTCGCAATGAGTAACTGCTGAACAAGACTATTATTGGACACTACGCCTACAGGCACAACAGGGGCTTAGTCTGCAAGGCCCTGAATAAAAATGATTTTGACAGAAGAAGACAGATACACAAAACTCAGAGATGATAACGAGACTTCCAAACAAACATCAGTATATCAGGTTATGCATATCACCATCTAATTACAGACTGGATAAGTAATATCTTATTCTGGAACATATACAATCACAAACACATAACATTTGATCATTAAGTTTGACACTTTCGATGCTAATGGTAGATTGTTAAGAGGAAGATAACACTCATGATGACCAGAAAATATTAGGAGTGCAAATGTATTGTAAATATTAATCAGGGTGAATAATGGGTTCATGAATTCTCTTTTTAACATCATATCAGAGATTAAAAATGAGAATTGCAATAACGTATTTAATCCTCTGGGAGAAAAAGGTAGTGATTTTACATTGGCTGTATGATAAATGTGCCCCTGTCAGACTGCTCCTGTCCATGAGTTGAACAGAAACAATAGTAACAGAAAATAGAAAAGGAAAAAGACATAACACAGAGAGACATTTCAAGCTTTATAATTTAATGAGTCATAATTTATTTGACAGTACAAAACAAAGTCATACTGTCGGAAACACCACAAGGCACAGTACAGCAGCACAGGCATACAGTTTGGGACAGGATTAACCCTTTAGTTTGTTACATGTACCACAAGGTGAAAATAAGTCTGTGTGATGATTTCTGATCAAACAGAGAGACTTCATGAAGGAAGTTTATATGTAGTTTCCATTTAATTATCATCAAGAATGTTAAGGCTAATATATGTCTACCACACAAATCAATAGATATATATCATCTTGTTGGTCTTGTTATTCAGTATAATACAGTACAATACGATACGAGTCCCTCTACATTACATTAATTTTACAGATAAATAATTTGAACCACTTCATATTTGACAATACACACTGTTCATTTGCAGTTCAATAAAAAGCAGCTTTTTAAACAGTCATGAAACTCTGAAAAAGATTCTGTAAACAGTTAAATTAAAGCTTTATGCTTTCTGAATATGTGGCAGTCAAAGTTTCCAAACCAACAACTGGATCTTTGAGAGAGCGAGAGAAAAAAAAAGCAAAAAAATACATTAAAGTGGACATAGATGTGCACTGGCACAGACTTGTTATCTCTGGGCGGTTATATTGACCAGGATATGGAGGACAAAAGCTGCCAAAAAAAAAGATCAAGTAGTAACTCTGAGTAAAATAATATTATGGGGCTATTTCAATTATATCGTTCCCCCTCTTTGTTTATGCCATTATCCATTATAGATAATTTTTAGTTAACTTTTGACTGAAAATAAAGTGAAAATAAAGTGATCCTATTTCTTAGAATATTTGAAATTACTTTGACTTTATATGGTTTTCATTTGTTTGGAATGTCTCTTTAATATGTATTAAAGCTTATTCTATTATTGATCTGCACTTCTGCCACTTCTTAAAAATACGACCTGAACTGCTTGTAATGAAAAATGGTAGTAACAAACAAACTGGTTAAAACCTATTACAGAAAACTCAATAGGTAACTCTGTAAAACTCATATCATAGTTAGTATTTTTATCGTGTTCCTGGTTAAAATAAAAATCTTACAAGGCCATATTTACCTGACAAGTCAAGAAAAATAATTTACACATGCTAAAATAAGACCTGGATTACTCATAATGGATGAAAAATGAAACGTCTAATAAAATATTTTCTTATTTCAGGAAGATATTTTCATATTCCATGGACAGTTTTTTTGTTCTTTTACTGCCATGTATACATTGTTCCCAAAGTTTGATTCCTGATTGTAGAAGTTGTCTGGACGCTGTGCTTGTTGCCAGCTGCTGAGTCCAGTATTTAGCTGACTTAACCTGCTCAAGCCCCCTCTATGATCCCCAAACTCCATGTCTCCCGCAACCAACATGCTAGGCCCAAAGTCCCGAGACAGGTTACCGATATCACTAGTTTTGCTCGTGGCCACTCTACCAAAGCTCAAACAAAATATGACCCATTTTCAGTTGAGTGAGCGAATTTAAATACAGATACTTCTGTATATCTATATCAAAGTGTATCAACCAAATGATCCCTAGTTTTGAATATTTCTGCTGGGTTATTTATTGGCATACCAGATCATTTCTTAAAAGTTGCATTTAAAATCACTCTTTTTGGCTGCTTCTATCCTCCAAACCTGACAGGATCGAGTTAACAATCAAGTGGTCTGTTGAAGGAAATCCCCTTGGCAACATGTTTTCATATCATGATAAAGTAATATATAAGTATCTGAGTTTAGGCTAGTCTTTGGTTGATTGGATAAGCAGTGTGGTTCATTTTGTCATGCCACAATGTCACTGATCATTATTTGGATTTAGTTAAGCTTAGGATCTGTTTTTAATATGCTACATAAATCTTTGAAAACTTTACTTCACTACTGGGCAAACTATTAGGCCTGTTTTCATGTTTGTCCATCTAATGCAAGTAAAGTAATGCAGTAACTTCTCATGTAGTAGACTATAGAATATATAGAAGCTTAGGTAATGTTTACTGAGACGTAGTTTTATGTTGATGTAATAAATGCTCCTTTGAGTTACTTGTCTTGATATAAACTAAAGTATGTGTCTTTAGGTCAGTGCTAGTAAGAATTGGTACATTTTACTAGTCTTTAAGAAGAGAAAATAAAAAACTCCAAACAGGACAAGGACATGATCAGAGATCCTTTAAAAACTGCTGCATTCAAAAAACGCTTAACCTCTAAAGACACCAAGGAGAAATCAGACTCCTGAGGAGAAATACAATCTCCTTCAACTTCTTTAAGATGACTGGTTGAAATAATAATATAATAAATATATTAAAAAAAACCCTGCATTTTATTAATGATCTTTACTGGTGCTAAATGTAATTCAATTTACTCAAACCATCAACATTAACAAAAATACTAAACCCCTAATCTTGGAGTCCTTAATAAATGACCATGTAGCACTGAGTTGTACTGTTTCTTTTTATACTACCTTGCACTTGTCACAATGTAACTTGGAAAAAAAGGATCCATGCACATGTTTAATGCTTACTCCAAAGCAATGTACCAGATGCAGGTGCAAAACCTGAAAACACAATACTCCTCAAACTAGAGTTTTATAGTAATGGAAGAAGTAGTCTGAACAACAAATTTACTGTGTCACTGAAACCCATTATCCACTGTCACTGTCAACATATGGGTGTAGCAGGACAATGCACAGCGTTACACATCCACTGCTGAAATTAAAAAACACTACAATTTATGGGTTTTGTCGGCACTTTTAAACTGCTACCACCACCTCCGCCATCGAGGAGCCTCACTCAAACAGATATCTCTTCTTCTTCACTCTTCAGACCTTTGCTTTGCACTCATCCATCCACCTAATACCTATGCGCTCATTCTCTCACTCTTTGCACTCTCTTTTTGTTTATTTCAGACCACCAACCAATGATGCAGCTGTGGAAGAAAGGAAAAAACCCATGAAATAAAAAGTAACAGGATCAAACGATTCATAGACCACAACAAAAATAATTCAAGATAATACTCTACTTACTGTGAACTGCCTGACCTCACCATTGTCCACCAAATGATGCTCAGACTCTGGAGTGATGGCATAAGCCAGTCTCTGTTTGAGAAGCAGGAAAAGCAACACTCAGGAATTTAATAACGTCATTAAGAATGTTAATCTTTTCATGGTCTCACAGGTGAAAGCCGACTGTATTATGGAAACGACACTTACATCGCAAAACTTTCCAGGTAGTGAGCAGAGTTTGTAGATGGCATAGAGGGGCACCATGGACATTGAGGACATGGCCAGACACCATCCCACCATGTTAGCCCACGGAGGAAACATGTAGGAGCCGTAATGTGGAGGGTTAAATGTGGCAAAGCTCACCACCACCATAAACTGGAGGAAAATGGTTTGGGTACAAAAGACTTGAATAACAATCCATTTCTATCACCTGCTGTCATTTTTATCCATTTTAAGAGTTGAAAAAGTTAAGAAATTCTATGGTTGAACTCACATGCTAAAGCTCCTGTGACCAATTTTTAGTTTGGCGCCCTCTATAGACAAAGCTTCTTTGCTTATTTTGTCCTCTACATGCTTCAACAGTTTGTGTGTGTATATATATACATATATATATCAATAACCCATACGTTGACTATCAATAGTGAAATAACTCATTGTATATTGACCAACCTACTCTCTTATCTTCTGTGTCAATATCAGCCGTTGAAAATCTTTAAAACTCTCCATGATTGTGTGTGGTTTGTTTCAGAGATTGTTAAGTGAATGTAAAATGAAACACTTAAGATATTACAAAGTGGTGAGTAAGCTATACCATGTGTTCCAGCTGACCTTAGATCACACCTCTTAGCCTGCTATGATATCACATAAGGTAAAATCAAGAGATGACAAACAAAAATCTGAATAATTTTATGAAAATAAATCAGATGAAGGCATATCCCTCTCAAATAAAAGTTTCTTTGACAGTCAAAGTGTGGTTGTTAGTCTGAATATGACTTTTTTTCAGACAGCCTGAGTCTGCCTGAGGAAAACCGCATTTTTCAGTTTGCCAAAGCAACACGTTTTACAAATAAACAACAAACTTCTGTTCTTCTCTATTTGAATTTGGCTCACTCAAACCCCTAAGACTGTATGATTCTTAGAAACATCATATTGATGTAAAAGTTGATATTTCTAAATGATCTCTGTCAGGACTATTTCGATAGTCGACGTACGTATGGACTCACCAGAAGGAAGCAGGGGCTTACAAACTTCCAGCACAGCCTCCAGTACCGTCCTGGTCTCTGGCCAATCATCTCCTCAATGTCATCGCTGAATCGGTCCACTCCTACAACACAGAAGGGTTCTTGGTAATTCTTCCAAAACATAAAAACAGTCCTTGTAAAGAAAACAGGTTTAATGTACAGTCTATTTTGCATGTTTTTGGAAATATCAGGAGATGGAAAAATTAAGAAAGTTGGTCACATTTTCTTAAAACTCTAACTTGGGGTGACAGGTAAAATATAGTTCAACCCCAAGCTGAAGTCAATCTAGAGCACAATTTTTACCTTATCATGGGTCACTCTCTCTCAGCCCTCTTTTTTTTTTTTTTGCATAAAAGGCATCTCTCCCTGCAGACTGGTGAACAGGTATCCAGCACAGCTTAATGTACTCTGTTTTGTCCAGCAGAATGAAAGACCACGGTGGCCAGGGGTCGAGAGTTTCTGTCAGCAGTTAGGAGGATGGGAAAAAAACGCCAGCTGAAGCCTTAGGCTTGATTTATCTGTTTTGCCAAGGTCAGGACCTGCTAAAGTGCGGCAATATGCTGACCCCACTGCCTGAGGCTTGGTCAGTATTAAGCCTGTTATGGATCCCTCAACAGTCAGGCTAAGTAGACATGAGACAAGAGACTCAATACAGAAGTTCAGGTCAAGCATTTTCTTTGACCTCAGTATTGTTTATATAATATTTTCCTCTTTCAGATTCACACTATGAAAAGCCTTTTTCTTTTATTTTCTGCAGATAAGTAAAGATAAACATGAAAATATTTTGTGAAACAGTTTGTATTTTACAGCTCTAACAAACAACTTGCTGTTTACGTCATAATTTACTCGCATAAAACGTGCAATGTTCATTTATGTTTCGTGGATAGAAACACATAAACTTCTCCCACAAACAAAAGCAGTAACTCATAGAAACTTAGTGTGTTTGTACAATGACAACAACAACAACAACAGATAGAGTGTTATAGAGATGATCTGAAAACTGTCTTATGTGAGCACTGAGCGGGTTTATACATCTGTAGAGAAACTGACTTTGTTGTCGCCTCCACTTGCCACCCACAATAATCTTCAACCTAGCTATTAGACAGCTGACTCCTGTCAATGACAAATAGGAAGAGCCGACTCCCTGACAGCAATTTGCTTTATGTGTTGGCTCACCACTGCTAAGTGAACATAGAGGTAACACTCGTAACACTACCACAGCTACAGTTTATCTTTGTACATTCACAACACATGCACAGAAGCTGAAGAGGCCAAAACCATTATTGGGGATAGACCCTCTCACTGCAGTATTCTCACATCTAATAGAACTATGTGTCATTGAGTCACAGCTCTCCTAAACCAACAGATTTCTCATCAAACCCTTAATATAGCATCAGCTTTGCTGACCATGAAAACATGAATCATCTGTTTCTCTTTCCTCTTTGGTCCTGTCAATCTGTCTCACCGTAAAACCAAGCGATGCCGATGGCTTCAATAAGCACTCCAAAGAGAATCGATGTTCCTGCAGCAAAGTAGTCCAGAAGAGTGAACACATACATCCCACCCTGGAGAGATATTAAGAATGTGTAGTTATTGTGTTATGTTATAACAATAGCCATGCAGAAAATAGACAGAAAAAAATACAAGGGTTTGATATGAATTCATTTATCAAACTGCTCTAGTCAAAACCACAGTACAACAACCAGCAACAGACCAGGTGCACTACTTACATTTGTTACACAGAAGAGTGATATAAGAAAAGTTGCTGCAACGATGAAGAGGGTGAACACTTCCCGGTGCTTGTGAAGGAATTTAAACTCGTCAATCAGCCCAGTGATTACCGATTCCATCCCACCCATCTGCAAAACAAGACAAGAGCTACAATGATGTAGGGAGCCAGGAGGAGCTGAGTGACTGAAGATTTTTGGTCTAAAGTCTGTTAAAAGTGTTGTCAATTGATCCCTATCATTGTCTAGCCAGGTGTGTACATGTGTGAGTGGGGGGATTGGTGCAAACTCACAGCACTGTCAATGCCAAGTGTCAAAAGCATGATGAAGAAGATAACCGCCCATATTGATGAACCAGGTAATGTTGCAATGGCTTCTGGGTAAATGACAAACACCAAACCAGCACCTAAAGAATGAAAGAAAAGGAAAGTGGAAATCAGTAAGTGGCTTAAAGGTGCTTTAAAAATATTGTGAAGAAAGCCACAGGCATCACAAAGAGCAGTTAATACCGACCAACTGGAAAAGGTCATAGAAACAAAGAGTACTGCTGTTGGTTGGTGTTTGTGCAAAATATTTTGTTTGTTAATTTCTGGATCACACACTTTGTTCTGTTGTAACTTCATCAAGCAAAAGGCTCCAAACATCTGAAAATTATCTTCAAATGCTGAGCATGAAATAACAAAATAACAAATCTAATTTCTGTTTTTCATCACTTTTAAGAGCCCCTATTTGATGTTAATATTTACCCCTTGATATTCATATAATATAAGTACAACATCAAAGGGGGATTACAAGATCTTACCATCTCTGGCAACTTTATCCAGGGGCACATTGTGCTTATAAGACATGTATCCCAGGAAGGAGAAGACCACAAACCCGGAGAAGAAACTGGTTAGAGAGTTGATGGAGCTGGTAATGATGGCGTCTCTGGATCAATGAGACAAAATAAAGAGAACAACAGTCAAGAATTACGAATCCACAGTTCATTATTTCTTCATCGACCATTACACAGTCAATATTAACATTATTGATCAGCCAATTGACCAACCAGTCAACTCAGGAAAGTGTTGGGCTGTTTTTCTTGGCTTTGACATGAAGAATACAAACTTGTCTGAATGATTTTAGTCACAAAATAGTTACAATAGCCTTGATGGATTTTATAGATCAGGCAGGCAGTAAATGTTTTTCTGACCAGTTAGTCTGTTGGGATACTGTCTAAACCTGCAATCGCAAAAACGATTAGATAGAGAATACAAACAAATTAGGATGTCAGTGTGCGGTAAAAAACAAGCATTGGTGTTTGGAAGAGAAATAAAACACCCAAACTGTCCCCAACACTTCCTATATCATCAAATTTTGCAACCAGAATTTCTCCTCTGAGTCAAAGGTGTAATGCCTCAGTAGGCCCGTGTTGTGTGCTTGATACTGAAACTGTTGAAAAAGCGACGAATGAAGGTAAGAGTGTCCTGCAGGGTGCTGATGATTTCAAAGAGTGTGTTCGTTTTGATTGGTGTTATGGCTGTTTGCTGCACTGCATGGTGTCAAAGACGTAGCAGGTTTCAAGGGGCTTCAAAGGTTCTTGTAATTCACCTGCCGATGTCACCTGCATGTGTTTGCATCTGTGTGTGCGGAAGCTTTCCCAGATCTGATCTCCATCTTGTGAACCCCTGTCTCCCCCTTCCCCCTTGTCTTACCTGTAGCAGTTGTTGCTGAATTTGTTGTAGCTGGAAAAGGCGATTAGTACACCAAACCCCACTCCCAGAGAGAAACAGATCTGTGTCGCAGCCTCAATCCAGACCTGGGGAGCAACAGAACAGGCACACTTGTGTGAAGCGGCAAACAAAAGGCACAGGAGAGGAAAAAAGCCATTATTAGGGATAATTGCAGGAAACTCATTCAACAGCAGTAGATGAAAGACGGTGGTGAATACGGGGGGTAATTTTGCAAATTACTGCTCCATGCATCTACCTAATCTAATTCTCTGATTGCTGCCATGCATCTCTCCACCGCTCTTGGTCTATCTTTCACTCTCATTCTCCATAACTGCGTCCCTTAGTCTTGAATGTGTACTTATTTCCTCTTTTTTTTAACCTGCTGTTACATCAAATGGTATCTTATTTACTTTAATAAGGACTGAGGAGCTCAATAATAGAAATATTTACTCAAACAATTGACTCATATTTGTTTTTAATGCCTTAAAGACATGATACTTCACCAAAAATTGACACTGCAAAACATACTGTGTTGCCTTTTGACTTTTTTTAATGGTCAACAGCATACAATGATTGCAATTTACAGATTATAGATTACTCCTTGCATTATTGTGGTTGTTACCATTATGTAATGTGCACAGGTCGAAATATGTAAGGCCAAAATAATGCTATAGACTATCGAATCCATTTCAGGTCCAGCTTAGGCCATAAGTAGGATGAGGTCAACCAAATATGCTCCATGATACAAGCCAAGTCTTTTGGGGCAACCCCACTTTGATAATAACAAAACTTATCTGAAAATGTCAAAGTTTCCCTTTAATGTCTCTTCGGTTTTCTTCTACTTTTGGACCCCAAGCACGCACAATCTGATTGTGTCCCCACTCTCTCCTCTCACACACTCACCTTGGCGTCACAGAGTCTCAGGAAGTCCACGGAGAGGTAAGCTTTAATGCCATCAATAGCTCCAGGCAGAGTGACTCCACGGAGCAGCAGCACAGTCAGGACCACATAGGGCATTGTGGCTGTGATCCACACAACCTGAAAGGGTTGCACAAGGTATGCACACACATGCAGTACACACACAAACAAGTATACACAGAGAGAAATCAAGAAAAGAGTTTACACATTCATATCTGTGCAAACAGTTAAGTTCAGTTGTTTCATTTGGACTAAAAGCCGCATTTTCATACACCAAATGTGTTTGAGATCATCCTTAACCTAAAATGTTTTGTGACTCATTTCATTAGTTCTTAGTGGGTGCTGTGTACTTTTGGGGTTTCTTTTTTCAACAAACATTGCTGAAGTGCCATTTCCTACCTTTCCAGAGGTCTTGACCCCTTTCCACAGACTGAAGTAGAGCAGGACAATCACTACAGCCAGACAGGAAGTCAACTGCCAACGAGGACGGCCCAGATCATCGATCCCTCTACTGTCCTGGATGTGGAGGACCGCTCGACTAAGGGAAGTAAATATTGTGATCAGGGTTCGGACTAGAGTTTAGGGTCCATTCTTTGATCTCATGTGAAATAATAGAAGTTTTATGATCTAACTGGCTTCAAATGGGGGAAAGCCCCAGTTGTAGGGTCCAAGCCTTTGCCAAAAGACCTTAAAAAACCTGCTACACAGCATTAAAAGACAGGAATGATCCTGGATGAACTGATCCAAGATGTACCGAGTGCCCTTAGGATCCATATGGCTAGGTCATTACAGAGACAACATCATTATTATTCACATGAGTTAAGTCTCTAGATGTCAGTCTTGTCTTCTATTGGCTTCAAAACCAACACTTGGATTTGTTGGAAGCTGAGTATCTACATTTCACCAGTGACAGGGGGACATTTAACACGCCCTAAAGAAATCTGGCATCGTGAAGCATTCCTACATCTGTTACAAACGCTACAAGATGTCGCCTCGGATATCATGACAACCTGCAAAGGCACAAACCTTGCCATGGAAAAGGAAATTACACAGATTTAAAGTCAATTTGTCCTTCAGTACAGTAAAATTTTCTGCACAAGTGTCACATGAAAGGTTAGCATAAGACTGAAAATACCTTGATTCAGATTATTTCAGCTTTAGAAAACAGATGAGATGGAATATTATTCAGCTGATGTGGTCAAATTGTCTGCAGGTGGTTGTATGTAAATAGCACACTGCCTATTCAGCTTTACGGATGACATGGCTCAGCTGTCACAACAAATCATTGCCTCACTTGTCGGGGATGGAGACACCTGCTTGTCTTCACACAAATATGGGCTTCATGAGCCAAAAGCAGACAAATTCAAAAGATTATGTCTGATGTTATATTGATGTCATATTTAAGATCTGTTTTTACTAAAAACACAGCTTAATTATGACATCAATATAGCAAATTTCTAAAACCTTTTTAGGAATTTGCTGTTATTTTGAGGACTGAGAGCATCAATAACACACTGTTACACACCAAGAGTACATGACTGTAAAAACTGTAGAAAGATGTGTCTCAATAAATCACTTTTTTTTTTTTTTTACATTATGTAATTCGAAGAGGTAGATTTTCAGATATTCTTACATTTGTGACATGCAAAATGAATATTTTTAGTCTTTTTAGTTTTAGCTTTAAAGATTTTGGCCTATAGCTCATGAAATTTCTGAAATCCTGTATCTCACATGACTGGAGTATTTCTTGAAATCAATCATAAGAAGTATTTGAATTATACATATATGTCAGACAGCTCAGCCAATACAAGACATGACCCATTAAGGGTTTAGATTTTGTTGTTTTCCTTCAAATGCAGGTATTTTAAGGTTTCATTGTTTGCTGTATGTTCAAAGACATCAATTAGTGAAGATACATTGCGACAAAATACATTTTAAGTTTAAAGAATTACACAATTGTAACTTTACAAATTTTGGTAGGGATCCACAAGGACTCAAAATCTATGGAGTTTCATTTTCTTTCAGCTGAACTGACTATTTCTAATCAAAAACAGAGTAGGCCAAAAGAAATTCAAGACACATGGTTCAGGTCAACTTACTCAAAGTACTCCTGAGCAGGGGTGGCCTTGTAAATGTCACTGACTGAGCTGTTGTCAGCCCAGTCAGAACAGTTCGGGCTGTTCCAGGTGTTGTTGCAGTGGACCCACGGGAGCTCGCCGGTGAATGATGAGAAAAGGTAAAACAGTGCCCAGGAAATGATGACGTTATAGTAGAAACCAACGTAGAGGGAAATGAGGATCACTGTAAAACCCACACCTGTTGAAGGGAAACAATGGTTATTATGCATATGCTTTACTTTGAGGTGCTCCTTGTTTGTATAATCAGTTATCAAAAGAGTCTGAGAGCCTGTTGCTCTCTCAGTGAGTGGATCTACCTCTTATCATAAAACACAGAGAACTTACAGGATAACTTTTAAAATGTAGGCCTAGTATTTTCTGTTATATGCAGCTTGATATGGTGTCATCCCTCTGCAAACAGCAATAATTTTACTGTAATTGCATATGACTTTAAGCTGATGTTTGTGACGAAGCATTTTTCTTTTTCGAAGAAAGATTTGTCCTAAACATGCAAACAGCACAGGGCACCCAAACAGTATTTGCTCAGCAGAGCATCAAGATGGGCATTTAATGTTATGTGTGCACTATCAAAATCAGATGGTCTCATTTATACATGTTTTAAAGCTGGATAAGATGTGCAGTCCATCTGTGAATTTGTTCCCTCTGTTTATGTATGACTTCACTTAAAGACAGTCCATTAAGGGGAACGATAGTGGACCTCAAAATGATCCTTGGGGAATGCCTTCAATAAGATTTACAGAGGATGGAAGTTTTTTTTCTTTTTTGCAACAAATGAAAAAGTTCTGTTTGATGGGTTGGAGTACAACCACTCCAGAGTTGGGCCTTTGAGAGTGAGTCAATATTGAAGATACTGAAGAAGGATAGAGTGAACCGTAGTGTCAAAAGCTGCCCTCAATTCAAACAGGAATAAAGCTCTATTCAACCTTTATCAGGTGCAAGAGGTAAGTCTTCTGTTGCATTACTGAGGATGTCTCAGTGCTGTGTAAGGGCTTAAAGATATTTGGACATGTGAGTGTGAGTCAATATAAAAGTAAAACACTGTTCAAAAGTAATGCTGTACTGCATGATGACATTCCACCGAGGGAAAAAAGATCTCTGATTCAGCCACCTTACATTGATCTCCACGGTGTTGAAGAAAGCCCGACAAGTTCCACAGATCCCGTCTTCATGCCTTATTATTATCAACCCATCTGCCCTTTCTGTCAATCTGAAGCCCTTACCCCTCTTCTAAGGCTGAATTTAATGGTTAACCTTTGCTAAGAGGCATGACCACAACTGTGCCTTATTGATTCCTTTGTAATGTGGATGTGATATTTGTCTAGGCAGCAATGCCTCTTATTAGCGCCACATGCAGCCATGTTATCTCTCCATCTTGGCCGTCTCTCCCTTTCACAGTCGTTTTCTTCAAATGCATTGATCCTTAGAGGAAACCAGCTTGTTGATCAGAATAATTACTGTCAATATGGGCATGTGTATGTGTGTATTTGAATAATTACAGTTATCCCCCCACTGAGAGACAAGGAGAGAGTGAAGCGTGTGATTAGAGCGTCAACCTACCCAGTGTGGTCCCTCACAGACGGCACATGGGCACACACTCAGAGACACACACACATACAGAAACACATGAACAGACACACACCCACTGTGGACCACCTTAAGACCAGCAAGGACATGATGCGATGAAAGACAGCGGTATAGCTTCACATTCTGAAGCAACAGATGGTCTGGTGGGAATAATGGTGTTTGAGGTGGTAATTCTGCTGCAGCTCAAGACAACAGCAGGGTGTGATTTAAAAGAAATTGTAACATCAGAGAATGATCAACAAACTCATATCAGTGTGAAAAACAGCAAACATTACAGAGACAGATTGAAAAACACAAGAAAACCTAACACAACAACTTTATCAAAGTTTAAAAAGTTTCACCATAGGAAGTGATTTATTGTACTTTTGAGACTAAATTGGTTTTAATGTTTTCTTCTCCGTTAGTTTGGATGGCATCTTCCTCAACCGCGCTTTGCTTATTGATGTGTTAAAAAGTACCGCTGCAGAGTGTCAGACGGCGCTCCACGCCACTATTTGACGGAAGAATTTGGACAATCAGGACAAGAGTCTAAAAGCCCAATTTTCATTTGCTTTCCATCTCAGTGCCAGCACAACCTGATGGTGTGCAGAGGATAAACAATGCCTGTCGCTGCTCAGCGTAGAGACAAGGAGACAAAAGAGACTGGCATGTGGACAGACAGGCATGTGGGCAGACAAACAGACAGAGAGACATGTGCATATTAAAGAAAATTTACCATCAGACAGATAGACAGGCACGGAGGCAGACAGGTGATGGGAAGGATGCGACTCATGACACGCCATGACAGATTTCATGTATGTGCAGGCCTCACTTTGAAACAGACAGGCGTCAAAATAAGGTATTCTGCATGTGTTCATCCTCCAGTGTGGGAAGTTATCTGTCTGTCTGTACTTCAAACTCTAAGTCATGAAGAGCGTCAACCTCCTACCTTTAAATATTGGGCAGATCTTCCAGACTCCTGCAGCCCCCTCTCTGTTATACTGTCCCAGAGCCAGCTCCATGTAGAAGAGAGGCATGCCTGCGATCACCATGAAGAACAGGTATGGCACTAGGAATGCACCTGCACACACAGACACAGACACAGACCACATAGCAACTTGACTCGTGCAAAAATCTTGAAAGGATATACAAGTTACAATCCAATATCAATAAAGTTCTAACTTGTTAAATGATGCAAACCTGACTTTTAACAAGTGGGTGACCGGGTGAAGACCAGCATTCACTGTCAGTCAACTAACCCCTCACCCTTGATTGTAATATCTTGATTGACAGTTAAAGCAAATTACTACATGCTTACATGGTTGATGGACAATATGCATGGAGGCGAAATGCCAAGCACAAGGGTGTCAGCTGTCAATTTAACAGTTCACTACAGAAGTTCACGAGATATTGAAACTTTTAACAAGCTGTTATTATATATGAACCTGTTCAGACAGAATGATTACACCCTTATGAATAGCTTTACTCGTGGTTAATTTAGTTGGGATCAAGATAAAACACACAATGTTGTTGTTTGTGCCCTGCCTTGAAAATTTTGTTCATACAACTCTATCAAACGACACATAACAAAATTTTAATTTAGGGCCAAAAATAATCTTTTTTTGTTTTTTTTGTTTTTGTTTACAGGTATGAAACCATACTGAATACAGCGGCACATGGTCACCCTTGACTATCACTACAGTATCACTGACAGCTCTTGAGCATAATGAAAGCTTTATGTTAAACAGCCATAATTAGTGGCAGTGATTGTTGGTGCTAATCTATTCAGAGCAGCTGTGGTGGTTTTTCCCCTATTTTGATCTCTGCAGAGAGCTTTAAAAAAGAAAAGAAAAAAAAAACCTCTGACGGCAACCAGTGGGCAAAATGAGCTGAGACGCACACTCAATATCAATCACTTAAAAAGACATTTGCTATCAAGCGTAAATTTGTGGTGCATGGACTTGCATGTAAAAAGGTAAAACATGGAGTATGTTAGTCATGTGTGAATGACTCCTCCTCTTATTTGACCTTATACACCACTTATATTCTCCCTTTTCTTTTTAAACAAAATCACGGCCTTAAACTCCAACATCAAGCCTTTCACTCCTCACTTCACCACAGCTTTGTACAACATTGCATTTTTCCCCCCTTTTTCTACACCCTTACTCTCTTCTCCATCCATTCTCTGGCAGTAGACCCTTAAGACATGCTCTGACAGCAGCTCTCGCTCACCTCCTCCATTCTTGTAGCAGAGGTATGGGAATCTCCAGACATTTGCCAGGTCTACAGCGAAACCGATCACAGACAGCAGGAAGTCGATTTTCTTCCCCCAGGTCTCCCTCTCCTCTTCTCCACTGGGATTGGTCTGATTGGGAGTCGGGGCCACAAGGGTGGTCGAGGTGAACTGAACCCCATTCTGCTCCTTCACCAAGATCAGCTCCACCTGAAGAGTCAGTTAGATTAAATCGGTGCTTCAGGCACAATTTTGATGCATTATGACCACTGCCTTTTTGTAAAAGCCATATCATTGCATATTTATCATTTGATTGGTTCAAAATCTTTCTCATACAACAGATTAAGTTGATCAAAATGAAGTAACACAAATTGTTCTGAACAAAATTTCATGTATTATTTAAGAACAAAATAGTTCAGTTACTAAATGAGTAGGCTGCAAGCATTTTCTAGCTAAAGTCATAACATCATGTCTTATTTGGTCATTTTCTACACATTTCAATCAGAGACTTTCATCTTCATTCCTGCTAAGTTAAATTCAGCGATCATTATGTTATTAATGATTTTATTTAACGTATGAAGAAAATGAAGAAAATCAAGGACATGTTGGCTCTCAGTAAATGTTGCCCTTGTTTTAATCCTGACTGCCCCACCCAAGCTCTCAGGATCCTCGTAAATTAAATCAGACAGACCATTTTGCAGAGAAATGTACCCAATTAAGAAGCTTGCACCATGCAGTGATGCAATTAGACTTTTTTTAATCAGATTGAACAGCATATCATTAACCCAACGACAAATGTGTCGGAACTGCACTGACCTCTTTGGGGCCCATGGTGTTGGAGGCGGGTTTTTCTGGGGCTACAACTGAGGACATCAGGCCGACTTTTTCTCTGCGTGCATGGAGGAGGGCACAGCCTTCTGGGGTGAAATACAAGCGATTGTGGAGCAGGAAAAAGAGGAGGTGCAGCCGAAGATTCTTTTGAGCTGAGTGGAAACAGAAACATGAACATGAAACTTTTATTTTTTTTTCCTTTTGTAAGATTCTTTCATAAACACAACCAAAGTTAATCCAGCCAAAAAAAGGCCCTACAATGACAACCTGAGAGAGTTCTAATCTCGGAAATGACTCGTTCAGAAAAAAGCTGTTTTATTGTTCATATGAGGCTTAATGGAGGAGAAACAGAGTTATTACATAGACTAAGTCCATATCTGGAGTTATACCATACAAATCTGAGCGAAAGAAATGTGGAGACAAGCGGTGGAATGGTGGGATTGATGGCAGAGGGTAACAAGAGGGCGTGGGGCAGCGTCTCTAAATGGCCATGACAGCGTGCTCATTTTATTTCACACTTGTTGATCGCCATTTTGCTCACAGATTTGGCCCCATGCCTACCAACCTTGTCTGACCACAGTATGCTGTCCACATGATTTAGATCAGGTTTTGTGTGTTGGGAAGAATTGTCTCAAATTTAGTTTATAAAAAATAGAGATAAGGCCCTTTTTTTCTTCAAAATAATACACAGATTTGAAAAAATCTGTTTCAGCAAAAGGAAAATATTTTTTTCTCACACATGAAAGTGTTTATTTTAGTTTTCTCTTAATTTTAAATATGCTGTGACCCAAATATCCATCTGCTTCTGAATGGCTTGTGAAGATTTCCCACATTTAAGATCTGGATGAACACAATCTCTTAAACTGTCATATCAGCATTCAAACTTCCTCAAAGTGCTAAAATGCAGCCAAATACAATCACTCATTCTTCTAACTCTTGTAATCATTAGTCAAAAACATCACAGGTTGAAAGCAAAATACTGTTTTATTAAAAATAATAAAAAACAACAGATACAGAATTAATGGTTTTAACACTTACTTTTTTGGAGTATCTCATAAAAGGCTCCCCTGCTATCACTCTGGGCAATTAATTCCAGCTGTGCTGACGTTCTTCGAAAATCTCCAAATAGATGCTGACCGTATTTACGCAAAATGTCCTTGAAAAGTTAGAGTGAAACTCAGGTTGAAGCCAAAATGTGTAAAAAAAAAAAAAATCCAGACAGGATAAAAATATTAGTAAGAGGACATAAAAAAAATGAAAGGATCTGGTGGAGTGTGATGAGTTAGGCTCTTTGGCTCCAGTGGCTGCAGACGCACTGAGCCCAGAGTACCCTGTGGTCTGGTATGGAGATCTGGCTGTGATTCCACTCTTGTATGAGAAACAATCATTGGCACCCCCCATCGCCGTCACTCTCCTCCCTCTCCCTCCCAATTTAAGCCTCATCTTTTCTTCCTCCTCCTCCTCTCCCATCATTGCATTTTTTCTCACCTGTTCTCCTGATGGTTTTACACTCTTGATGTAAATATGTAAATTCAGACAAAGGAAATTCATTTCTCCAACATGAAAGCAGGTATGATGAGATGTCTCGCCAGTATGATATATTTGAATGTTAAGTCATTACATCCAGGAGCAGTACATGATGTGAGTGGTATAACATCATGAGTCTTTGCAAAAGATTAAAGTTAGGCCTGTAAACACCTACAGGAGGATTATGTGATCCTTACTGGATTTGTGGATTCATATTCATATCATGAGGACCAGCAGAAAAAATGACCCAACAGCACCTCTATATTTACCTGCACAGTTATTATTTTGCTTGATACAGTGTAATACACTATTAAATGCAAGGTTCAAACAGCCATCTTATGGTGTCTTTTAATTTTGTACCCATTGTACACTTAGAACAAAAGTGAAACAGATGCAGTCGAGTGTTTTTTTTCCTCGGTGCAGTGGCTTAACTACAGTGTCTTAAGATAAGAGAAGATAAAATATTCCTTTATAAGTAAGCATTTCAGAAAACAGTAATAAGCAGGGCTGCCACTAATTTGATGCAAATATTGGAACCAAGACTTAGAAGTGGATTTTTTATTTTTTGTGATATTAATGCAATCAAATTAGAGTAAATTAAAGTGAGAAAAACAGTCGATCCTCCCTGCTCTACAACTTCCAAATATATATGGGTGCTGATTTTTCTAGTTGTTCCAGTGGGTATCCCTGACTGAATGGAAGAGAGCCCCATGAGCTGGACCCAAGGGGAACTTAATGTCAAGCATCTTTTGGCTGAGACTTTACCCAAGGAGCCAAGCTGGTTAAAGAAAGGAACCGTTTGCTGATTTTTGGCAGCTAGAGTGGTTCTTTAAAGGAGGAATATCTTCTCTCAATGTGAAAGACAACTGGCCAAGATACCGGATAGTCTCAGCTTTGTTCATATCCACGTGTAGCACTGCCCCCAGGACCAAACCCCGGAGAAGGAAGTTCTTCAAGTTGAGTGCAGACATATGTGGTGTTCTTAAAAAGGACTGATATTTTTTGTGTACTGTTTCTCTCATTTCAGAGTATTAAGAGCACAGTTTACACATAGCAATCCTGCATCAGTGCTGTAACAAGGTTAAGAAATCCATCCCATCCACAATGGTGTATCATTGGTCCCAATGAAAGATTTCTTATTGCCTGTAGTGTCAACAACAGGAGTGCCACATAGAAACTTGGACATGCACAGGACGCTGTACCACCTTGCTGGCACTGATGACATTGCCACTATCTTACCACTCTGGCCACTATCTAACCTGGAAAAGAGGAGACTCTGCAGTTGTTGGGAAGACTTTAAAGCCCACCAGGAAAATGACAAAGAAAGCTGAAGGATAATTGGGAGGAATGCCCCCCTGGTCTTGGCAAGAGCAGAGCTTTGTCTTTAGACCTCCACAAAGCATGCATCTGCCAACACCATATTTGAGCACAGGGGGATTTCTGGGTGTAGATCAGTACTTTCTTTTATTTGTTCATCTGCAACCATATTCCTTTTTTTTCTTGGCCCAGCAGTCTCCAGAGGAAGAAGACATACAGAGGGGATGTGGCTTATGTGGCCATGGAAGCAATTACCTATGTATGGAAAGGGTTTGGAGAGGGTATGAAGTGGGAGTGACTCCAAGGTACTTCAAACAAACTGTTTCACAACACAGTAAAGTAGGGCTAAAGTAGTAGCTTGGAGTGAATCCACTGCTCTCCTGCATTGAAAGGGGCCAGTTGAGGTTGTTTGGATGTCTGATGAGAATATCTTGGAGGTTTTCTGGGCATGTCCAATTGGGAGTAGACCTAACAATGGATCCAGACCTTGCTTAATCTCGGAAGGCCTGGGATTACCTGGTGATACTTTTGCAGGAGTGGGAAAATTGTTGCAAGAAGTTTTGGCTAACATGCTGCCAGCTGCCACTATGATCCAACCCTGGGTGCCAAGCAAAAAAATAAAGCTGACTTGAATGGAGGGAATTAAGGATGGAAAACTATTCATTTGAAACCTTATAGACTTAGCTTGGCATCATGATGCTTTCCTATACTCTAAACTAAAAAGAAATTTATGAAAATGACAAAATTAGCTCTATTGTTTTGTTTTTAGATTTCTTTCAAGCACTTTGACTCCAAACTTCATGGTTCTTCCCAGACGATCTCAGTAACATAGATCCCTTTTTCTTTTAAAAATACTTTCTCCTCGCTTCACCCTTCAATTGACCCAAAAGACCCACCTCACCTGTCAATAGGCAAACATCTCATTACCCATAATGTTGTACAGGTCTAAATACAATCAGATCCCTGACAAGACCTCTCCCATTTCAAACTCAACCAAAACAGAACTTGAGCATCAAATAACACAATCAGCCTGCTCCCCACGGACAGATTTATGACCCTTATATCTAGAATGACAGCCTGTTGTTTGCCAGCTCATTGCAGTGATCAATTGGCCGCTAATCCCTGACACCAACATCGCCCTCACCAAAGCACACACACTTTTAAAGTGCAATCATCAATCAAGCCCTGTCCCTTATATCAGAAATTGTTGGGTCGATTTAAGCCGTGCTGGATGTATGAGGTTTCCGATGGAGCTCTGACAACGGTGAGGTGAAAGTAATGGAGTGTCTTGTTTTCATAAACGCAACAGCTGAGACCTGCAGAGAAGAAGGCTGAAAAGGAGGAGGGGGAAGAGTAGAGGACGAGTGAGGTAAAGGAGAAAGTAGAAAAGAGAGGCCCAAGGGATGAAATGAGCAAAATGGAAGGAAAAGGCCAAAGCAGTGCTTTAGTGTTTTAATAACATTGTCATCTTGACTTTGGGAATCCTTACTGCTTTTAAAATGGCTCGTTTAGGACTTATCTGTACTTTTACGGCCTCATTTCAAAAGAGGTGACATAAAGAGCAGCTGACCGTATTTACACCTTTTTTATCTGATGTCTCACTTGATCAGCAACTACAGTTCAACAGCTATGTACAGTATATTAGTGACCACCTTTTTCCCAAAGTTTAACAGGAAATGCGATCTTCAAACACAGAGGTGTTTGAAGATCGCATCTCTGCCTGTTCCCACTTTGACAAAAAAGTTCATCTAGGCTGGTCTTTAGAATCAGGGAATAATGGCAGGAACTAGACACAGACGCTAAAGTAGCCTGAGGATCTACTGGGCACAAACTACCTCTGATACGAAGAAGTGAAGTTGCATCCTGCCCTGTAATCCAGGCAGAAGCAGTAGAGCTGGTGAGTGCATCTCTCAGTTTCTGATTCCCAGTAAGTCACAACGTAAGTAGTAGAGATACTGCCAATGTCATAGGATGAGACACTTGCTTTATTTGTGTTTAAAGGGCTGTCAAGTGCGAAGTACTGAGAAGAGGGAGAGCTAAATGAAGGCAGGAATATCAACATAAAAGCAGAGGTCACATTCACCAAACCTTCAGTAGAAAAGTTCAGATTATCTTAGTTTATATCAAACAAGGGGGAGGGGAATGGAACTGGACAGATACATATTTCTTAATAAAACAATTTTAACATTAAACCATCT